AAATTGTATTTTAAAACATATCTAGGTCTTATAAATGATATAGAATGTTTATATAGACATAAATTCGATATTTTTTTGAAAATAGCCGACTATGATCGAAAACCAAAAATGCTTTAAATTGCATTTTAAAACATATCTAGGTCTTATAAATGATAAAGAATGCTAATATTGACATAAAATCGATATTTTTTGAAAATAGCCTACTTTGATCGAAAACCAAAAATGCTTTAAATTGCATTTTAAAACATATTTAGGTCTTATAAATGATATAGAATGTTTTTATAGACATAAATTCGATATTATTTTGAAATTAGCCGACTATGATCGAAAACCAAAAATGCTTTAAATTGCATTTTAAAACATATCTAGGTCTTATAAATGATAAAGAATGCTAATATTGACATAAAATCGATATTTTTTGAAAATAGCCTACTTTGATCGAAAACCAAAAATGCTTTAAATTGCATTTTAAAACATATCTAGGTCTTATAAATGATATAGAATGTTTTTATAGACATAAATTCGATATTATTTTGAAATTAGCCGACTATGATCGAAAACCAAAAATGCTTTAAATTGCATTTTAAAACATATCTAGGTCTTATAAATGATAAAGAATGCTAATATTGACATAAAATCGATATTTTTTGAAAATAGCCTACTTTGATCGAAACCAAAAATGCTTTAAATTGCATTTCAAAACATATCTAGGTCTTATAAATGATTAAGAATGCTAATATTGACATAAAATCGATATTTTTTGAAAATAGCCTACTTTGATCGAAACCAAAAATGCTTTAAATTGCATTTTAAAACATATCTAGGTCTTATAAATGATAACAAATGCTAATATAGATATAAAATCGATATTTATTGAAAATAGCCTACTATGATCGATTGTTCTCACTTCTTAATCTCAATTGAGATTTTTAATCTCAATTTGTGACGTCACAAGTGAAATTTTTCAAAAAATTTGAATGAAATTTTTGAACACAAAGGTTAATGGAAGTTTTTCTGATATTGACTGTGTTCCTGTTTTTGAATGTATATCAGTTTACAGCTTCAATGCTTCTGGATTGACGAATAACTCTGGGACGATTTAATAAACAATAAAAAGTTGAAGCAAATGTAGTGTTTGCATGGAGATTTCGCGAAAATCTTCCATCAAGCAATACGGTCTCAAAAAAAAAAAGGTCATGCAAAGCGCTATAATTTCCGCCCTACCAGACGTTAAGGGCTAAATTTTGACATATAAATCATTACTTTTGGATAATACGGTGGACCTGTAGACTTTGTGACAAAATTTGAACGACATAAAGAAACACCTTTCGTGTTCCATGAGGAAGATAACTTTGTCGATCTTGAAGCACAATTGTCCTGGATTCCATGTCAACATCATCTTGCTTCTTAAAGCCGTCAAGCTAATCTACTCTGTACAAAATCATTGTTTAATTTCCTGTATCTTGTCTTTTCTATTTATTTTTTCTCCTCAAACCAAACTTCCAGTTATCGACGATTACAACTAATCATGCAATGCAATGCAATGAAAATATTGAATGTCTACAAAGCAGTTTAGCCGCTCAATTTTCTCGCTATTTGTAATTATAATTGGATCAATATATTTATTGGATTAAATAATTTGTAGTTCTGAGGTTACCGGTCGATTTATATCTTCCTGATTCAAGGTTGCTACATAACCACAAAAAAAACAATTTATCCGGTTCATTAAATAATTACATCATTTATTATCACAAATTTTGCTATATTGCACATCATTAATGCTACATCAAGTCATTAATCATGAATCAAAAAATTGCCAAAATCACAATGATTTTCAACTTCCAAACCGGCCTAAAAAGCAGTCTTCATTCAAAATTAAGCTAAAATGCTAGCATGAGTAATCTTACATGAGCTCTTATCTAACGATTAGTTCAGCTTAAATCTGTAAACCTGACTGAAGCCTTAATTTTCATATCAATCAATTTTAAATGCGATTATTTGCTACATATCATGTCCGATATGCACGTAATTTGTGAACGATGAATATTAAAGCACATTTCGAATGTTGGTTCCGCTTTAAGTGTTCCACCAAATGTGACTTATGTGTGAATTAAATGTGAAATGAGATGTGTAAGATTCATTAAACCCCTTTATTTTTCGTGTGAACATACTCAGTCATCGAACAAGAATAAAGCATAATTCTCCGAAAAAAAGGAATGAATGCGCTACGATTTATCGGGTTAAGGAATAAAAAATTATGTTGATTAATGCTAATGTATCATTAATAAATGCTAATTAAGCAAATTGGTATCTGTTAATTTAATTTATTCTTTTTTTTTTTTGTTTCATCGTCTCTAATTGTAGAATTTATTTTCTCGATGATTTCTCGTGTGTCAGAGAAATTCGTTTACCACATTCACCATTAACTAATGAAACACCTGAATTAGAATATCGATGAATGAGGGGTCTTTTGATTATGATGTGTGGAGTTAAAATGAGAAATGAGTTCTATTTTAATTCTATATAAAGGAATTGTTGGCTTTAACGATGGCTTGAGTATTGAATTGGATTAGTCCTAGAAAGCTTTGATGTAATTCGCAAAGAAGAAGACATCATGGAGCTCGAAAAATAGATACTGTCCGGTAATAATTCACATTTTACACTTTTTTATTTGTATACATATGAATTAATATTATATAGGATCAAACTTCTAATCTTCATATGTAGGTTTCAAATAAGCTAAGGCTCTCGTTTCGATCTTCTGTGGGCGTGACGTGATACTTTTCAGGTCCGTTCTAACATAACAATATTCCATTCGTGGGTAATCTTGTAGCTCTCGTTCCTATTTCTCCCGTTACACTTCAAGTTCCTGACCCGTTCCTTAATCCAACGTTTCCCAAATGCCCAATTATGGCTTGATCTCGTACATTAAGCAGTAGAAGTATCTAAACTTCCGAAAAAGAACAAATTTGGAAATGGCTGGATTCGAACCAACGACCTTCGAGTTACCATCCCAAATTTGAGCCAAGCGCCTTACCTATTCGACCAGCAAGGCACTTAACTGATGACATCGTTTCATAACTAAGGTAGTGTAACAAACTTGTGTTTCTGTCCCAGCATTGAGATTCTTTGTTTTATGGCTCAAATATGACTGACTATTGACCATTGATTCTCAATTTGTTGATATAAACCAGCAGAGAAAGATATACATCATTAATAAATAGACCCTACAAAAAAGAGAATTCCGTAAGCCGCATCATGTCAAAAGAATTAGAATTAACGAGTTAAAACAAAATAGGAGACAGATTTACGTAAAGCGAGCCTCAAGAAGATGAAATGAGAGAAGAAAATGTTTACGTTTAAATATCTTAATCCGTTTGATAATAATGGGATAAATTTATGGATAAAGAATGTAAATTAAAGTCTCAAAAATGCTCTTTTCATGTTACTTCGTCGCCTAGATCATTTTTAAATCACATTCTTGCTGAAAATTTCTTTCAATTTATGTTCGCCAATCATCATTTGAATACGATTAAAATTAAAAACAATTTTAGCGAATGTCTATTATTGAATAATTTACTTTTAATCAGTAATTTATTTTATTAACTCTTCAATATTTTTTATTTTTAAATCTTTACACAGACTTTCATCTTTTATAATTTATAATTATTATTATTATTTAATAGGTTCTTATGCATAATTTTATTTAGTAGATAAGAGATCGAAAGATTTTTTTTATTTTTTATTTTTTCACTATACATCTAAAATTGTCATCATCAAGTTCTTTCATCAATTAAAAATTAAAACGGAAGATGGACCAAAAAATTTGAGCTTTTAATGTGCAGATTAAATTTTTTTTTTATTTTTTTTTTCTTTTCTATTCGTGAAATATCACATTAAACTTTTATGTCAACAACTTTTTTCTGTATCATTTATTACACTGACTATAAGTTCTAGAAATAACATGCTCAAATTATTATTTATTTTTTTTTTAATTTTCGCGAAGGACTTGAAAGCTGTTTTCGCCATGACATTTATTTTATTTTCACTCATTTTTAAACTGCTTAAAGTTATAAGGAAGTAAATAGTTATGGTATTATTAGTTTAATAGACATTTAAGAGAGTCACGAAAAATGCTGTATTTTAGAAGTACACGAAGAATTTTCATACTCTCTATTCTTCAACAAATGAGTACAGTTGGGTTTAAAAACAGTTATTATGCAGCTCTAAGTTGAGACTTATTCTATATGTTCTTGGGGTTATTCCCACCCTCCATCCCCTTTTGAAAAAAATTCTTCAATTTGCTAGGGCTTCTTGAGAAAAAGCAGACACAACCCCTTACCTCCTTCACTTCCTGTTCATACAAAAAACCAACCCCCCCCCCCCCCCCCCCCTTTAATAAATTCTGAATTCCGTCCCTGACTTAGCCCCCTTTTAGTCAGTGTCATGATTAGCCCTGAAGCTATTCAGTACTTAATCTATTGAACCTAATCAGTAAGTAAGCGGTTTATCTCAAAACATAAGTTGTACATAAGCTGTTTTTAAATCCCAACTGTACCTCAATGCTCAAGAAGTATTAAGTAATTTTCACTTATATCCCGCAATTCAACTTTAAATAATTGTAATAAAATTTGCAAAATTCTATTTTTTTACGATTCTTATTGTTTTTCGTATTTTGCTCACAACCACATTTTGAAATTTTATTTACTTAAGATAATTATGAATTAAGAGTCAACTATAATCAGCCATTTTACTTTAAGTAATTAAGAATAATATCAAATTTTCGTTGCTTAGTGATATTATGTATTAATCGCTGACTAATTGAAGCCGTTTGCCTGATTTGGTGGATTACTCTGTTGGAATAAAAAATCAAATCAAAATAAAGAAAAATGATAAAAAAATAATAAAAATTAAAAGAACTTATAATTAACAAATAAGTACGTTAGTACGGAACCAAACAGCATACACAGATTAGCATTAGACCAAATAAAAACATGTAATTAAAAATTAGTCTTTGAATTTCCAGATTCATTTACATCATCACTACTTTCACCATTCGAGTCATCAACTAATTCGTCTTCTGTATCGAAATTAAGCCATGGCTCTGACATGTTATTGTTATAGTTCATTTGCAGCAAAACTTCACCGTTTTCCAATTCTCTTTTAATCTGAATGTTTCCATCATTCGGATTAATCTGATCGAATTTCGGTGAACCGGAATCGAAAAGCAAATCAGCTTCTGGAAATAAATCGCTTGCAATTGGCTCATCAACACCCAAATCAGCGCATTCCTCGCTGAAAGATTTCTGATTGAAAATTTCTTTATCTATGCCGGTTGATGTTGATGACTGCTTTCGATCGTTGTACATTAATATTTTACTTGATGGATCAATAAGAAAGCCTTTTGTATTTTTCACACTATTAGCGCTATTCGACTGTTTTGTTAAGCATGAACTCAAGATTGATGGAAATTGTGGCAATTTTTGCGAATGCGAATTATCTGCATCACTTGTATCATGATTTGAGCTCGTATTTTCATCAACCTCCATTTTTGTATTTAACATTGGCGAGTTCAACATTTCATTTTCATTATTCAAATCCATCATTTCCTCTTTTATACATTCATCATAATCCAATTTCTCAGATTTAATTTTAATGCTGTTGACCTCAATGTTCTTAATGTCAGTTGATGTAGATCGTGTATCACCCATAAACATTATACTTGAAGAACTTTTCGGGTCTGAAGGCTCATTAAGTTTTATCATGAAATTATGTTGTGGATGATTATGCGATAATTGCTGTTGCTGTTGTATTATTTCAGTTATCAATGTTTTATCACTTACAAAATTATTACTCGAAGCTGAATCATATGAATTAAGCTGGTCATTTTCTTGCTTAATATTCTTAATGTCTTCATCAAATGATTTTACATAAAAAGCAGAAGCATGACTTTTATTATTCCCAATCATGAGATTATTTTGATGCTGAAAATGTAAAGTTTTAGTGTTTCCATCATTTTCATTTGAATGTGTTAATCTAGCTTTATCTCCTAATCCACTAGCAGCCGCAGCAGCAGCTTCATTCATTTGATTAACATATCGTTGTAAAATAATAGAAGTACCACTAGAGTTATTGATACTAACAGGCGATGTTAGTTGACTTGCAGGCACAGCAATTATTTTCTGTCCATTTTGTGACGATAAAATCGCCAGATGTTGACCACTCTTTAAAACATTCATAGGCAATATGTAATTTCCTGGCATGAGAACGGCTGTTGTTGAGCCCTGTGCTGACAATCTCTCAACTGATTCACCAAGAGATGTTCGTGTAATGCTCGAAGCACTACTTGCTGACGATTGAGAATTGTTCAAGATAAAACTTTTTGATGAGATTGTATCTGAGCCAGAATTGTTTTTCGATTCAATTACAAGAGATCTGCGACTCACGGAAAATTTATTGTGTGCAGGTGATGTTGTAACGCTACTGTTGCTGCTTTGTGGACTCAATGCAATTTCTCTTTTCGCATCTTCCATGTAAAAGTTATTGTCCATAGAAACATCTGTATGATCATCAATATCTCCGCGAGGCGAATTGTTTATAGAACCAGTCGATGCAACTCCACTTCCTACACCACAAGAGCTGTCTTCTTCACTTCCCATCGTATCAGTCATAACATCAGATGACGAGCCAAACTGTTTTGAATTCTTCATATTTCCAGTTGATGTTGATGCTGAGACTTTTTTACGTTTTGCCGGAGGATTAGTTGGTGGATTTGCACGACGACGAGGTGCTGGTTTATTATTCAAGTCAGGCGAATTTCTCACTTGTTCTTTGTAGTTTGCCAAAATGTCAAGAATTCTCTGTGCAGTGTGTTCATCCTCTTGTAATTTTGGCGTTGCTTTTGCACTATTACTACCAGATAGTGATTTTGATGATGTTGGAGAATCACTTGGCGAATTGCTTGTGATACTGACTGAACTCGACTTTATTTCAATTTTCATTTTATTCTCAGAAAATTGCTTACGAGGACTTGAATGATTTGAATTATCGGGCGGTGGTGAGGCTACAGAATTTGGTGTAGCTGAACTCCGTTCTAAAACTTGTTCTAAAACCATGTCGAATTCTCTTAATTGCTCCAATGTTGAATTATCAACTGTTTTCTTTTGCTTCTGTTCTACTTTAATTTTATTATTCTCAATATCAGCATTCTGATCTGGCTGCTGATTAATAGTACTTGTTGAATTTTGTTGCGAACCCATTAATAAACTTTGCAATTTCGATCCCGATTGATTCAAATTTTGAATATTTGATTGTGGACGTACTACAGTTGAAGCAGCGGGAGCAATAACAATTTGTGGTCTAAAATTTCCCGTCGATTGAGGGCGAACTGAATTAATCAATTGTGGAATTTGAATTGGAACAGAAATTCTCACAGGAGTCATTATCGTGCGATTGGTATTTGACATCGAGTCTGCTATACTTGTGATGATTCTCACGTTATTGGTTTGATTGCTGTTGCTGCGTAGTGCCGTTAACAAAACATTATTATTGTTACTAGCTATTAGCTTGCCATTTCCTATAGACCGTGCGTATAAAAGATTATTGCCTTGTAGTGCAGACTGTAAAGTTGGCAGTGGTTTTTCATTACTTTCAGTCGATTCAATAAAGCTTATCTCATTTTTCTCATTCTTTGTAACCTTAACAGGCGATATTGTATTTACAACAGACCTAGTAAATGTTTCCCTTGTGGTGGCAACTTTTGTCTGATCATTTATGGTAGTGGTTGAAAATATTGACTTTCCAAATGCCTGATTAAATTTAGGCAAAATTTGGTTACTTGACTGTATCACTGTTTTTCCAATCTTTTGAATAAATGTATTTGAAGTTGATCCACTTACTGAAGTATTTATGGGTGTGCTACTGATTGTTAAAAGTCCCATATCAGATGCATTCGATGTTGTTATACCCACAGAAGGAGTTTGTATGAATTTCGCATAAGTCTCTTCATAAACAGATCTTGTACCCATTGGAGAAGCTGGATTACTATTTTGTGCAATTCCAACTATTGTATTTTTATTATTTTTCTTATCACATTCATTACTCTGCTTTTGTATAATGGTCAAAATATTTGGATTCTCATCTTTTCTCAATTGATTATTAAGTATAATTTGCTGATTTGCATGATGCAAAATTGTTGGTCCTTTTGCTCCACTTGTATCAACCTTATAAGTAATTTTCTTTGTTAATCCAGTTCCAGTATTACTGTTACAAATTGGAGTCAAATGAATAATTTTACCATCTGTTTTACAAATGAACTGAACAACGCCTTGCTGCTTTATTGAATCTGGCAAATCTGTTTTCATTCCATCGACATTTGACGAAGTTGGAACCGTTAAAATTTGATTAGGCTTCATATTCGATGTATTGGCTGATGACAAAACGTTTAGTGACTTCATAGTAAAGTTTGTCGGTGGACTATTGAGGATTTGAACAAGTTGTGATTGTCCAGTTGAAGTAGTAACAGTTTTTCTCACAGCATTAATCATTGGATTGTTTGTTGTCAATGTGCATGAAGTTCCAGTAGCAACATCTGATGCTTTTGTGGCACTTGTGATTATATAATGACGATTAGAACTAGTAGGAACCATAACTTGCTGTGTAAGCATGTTAATTAATGTCTGATTTTTAGTAACATTCTTCGACGAATCCGTCAATTGTTGTTGTGAAGAACATGCTATAATCTTTACATTCGATGCATTCTTCATCGCCGATTCAGCTGTCATAGAAATCTTCTTAGTGTCATCAGCTTTCAATTTAATAAATTTATCTGTCGAATTATTGACAACGACTCGTGATGTTGCAGGTGGATAAGTGTTTTTAATTATTGATCCAAATGATGTCTGTAACGTTCTCGTTTCAGTTTCATGGCTTATGCTTGTCTGTCCAATTTTATGAACATGAATTGTCGTCGAATTTGACATTATCTCGCTATTATTTCCATCATTGTGTAATAAATTTCCGGGTTCGTTACTTACCCCATCATTAACGTCATTTGTTTCATTCGCCGCAGAATTTTTTAATTCTTTTAAATGAACAACCTCAATTTGTAGAGTTCGTTGTGGACTCGATGGAATTTTAAAGAATTCAAATGAATTTAAGCCAGGAATAGAATTCATTACGTCTTGACTTATCTGATACAGAAGACTTTTGTGATTTTTCTCATCATCAAAATTTGATTTATGGCTCGTTTTTTCTTTATCTAGTCTAAAATTACATTCTTTTGGCGTCCATCGAACAAACTTCTTACGATTCTTGAGATTCTTTGTGAAATTTAAATGATTTTTATCCGAATATGATGGTTTTTCGATCATTTTAAGGAATATTGAAATATCATTAGCATTATTAGTGTCAAATGAGTCTAAATTACCATTATTCAACTTATTCTTAACAGCATCAAGGTTAGTCAATTTTGAATTATTATAATTATAATTAGCATTATTATTAGTCTTACATTTGCTATATCTATCAATGACATTAGCGATACCATCACCATATGAATCATTAAAAACATAACTTACAGAATTATGACAAACAATAGTAAATGTTGCGTCGTACACGCTATCTACATAGCTTTCATTTGGAAGTTCTTCTGTTGGAATTGCCTCTGCGACTGTGCTGCTCTTTAAATTATTCCTGATTACGGTGTTCTGGATGGGATAAATAAAAATTTTAATATTTTCAATTGTGAGAGTATAATTTTTTTAATTCTAGGCTCAGACTAAGACTAATCCATGGATTAAACAACAGCTAATTCAGGGATTTATGTGAATCCCAGAACTAAACACAAAAGTTGACATCAATTAATGACAAAGTTTACTTTACCTCTGTAATTGGATCCACTGGAACCTTCTGCAACCGAATTGGAGTCTCTTTCTTCAAGAAGCTTTTATCCATGTCCTTCATGACGTCAACTAGTAATACTTTACATTTTCTGACACTATCCTCTGACTGACTTATAGGCAATGATCTTTTAAGGAATCGTTTTTGTGCTCGCTCCTGAGAATCCTTTAGAAAACTATCAGGTCCTGATACTGTGTCACATCCAATGAATGTTATATCTGGAGCTGACTTTTTAGCCATTTTCAATCTCCTGTCATCGTAAATATTGTCGCAACCATAAATTTCGCTAGTTAAATCAATACTTGGCTCACTTATATCCTCCGTCAAGTCAATTACAACTTCAGCCACATCCTTCTTCGTCTCGACAAACTTTTTCTTAGCATTCTCAATCAATTCTGCTAGATTTTTAGTAAAATCAATTTTCATTTTCTTAAGACTATTTACTTCCTCTGGAATCTCAACCTTTACATCAATGATTTGTTGTGGCGAAGTTATAGGACTTTTAATTACATTCGGTCTCATTTGTGGCAAGACATTTTGTTGTACTGGTTCCTGCTTAATTTCCTTTGTAATTTGAGTATTAATATCATTCTTATTTGATGGATAATGTAGCGGTGGTGGACTTTTCGGTAACACAATAGTCGGTAAACTTTTTGTCTCTGGAATATGAATGTGTTTCTTTGGTACTGTTGATTGAAGCATCGTCGTCTGTATTTCATCCTCAAAATCAACAAGTTCATCTTCGGTTTTAATCTCTTGCTTGATTGGCTTCTCTATAGTCACGACAGATACGCCTGGTTCAGTTTGATTATATCCATTATTCGGTGGTTCCTCTTTAACGACCATACATGGATTACTAAAGCTTATCTTTTTTAAACCCGTTATATTTATGTCCGAAACATCTTCAATCTTAAGAATTTCGACTTTTGGCTTCACACGATTTGGAGAAACTAAAACATTGCTGCTATCTTGTGGAACTGCTGCATTAGAATTACATATAAATGGTTCATGACCTTGTAATACTGATTGTTGTGGTGGCTGCTGAAATTGAGATGGAATTTGCTGTTGTTGCACTCCGTTAGTGAATTGCGGTGGTGCTTGTATGACAGACGAGTGAATTGGATCATTACTTTGAGCATAGCATACTGATGGCGTATATTGAGTTTGAATATTTGTCGAGTATTGACTAACTGGAACATTAAATTGATTTGATGTAATTTGTGGATAAGGATAAGGTTGTTGAATAAAGTTCAATCCATTAACCGGTGTGTTGTTTACATTATTATTTACATTCATCACAATATTGCTTATTGAAGGGATATTACTATTGCTGTTACTGCTATTTGATTCTACTTTTATCGGGCTTTGAATTACCGACATTTTCTCAGCAGACAGCTCTGGTTTTTGTACTTTTTTACGCGGTCTATAAGACTTTTGACCTTGGAATGAACATTTAATCTTACTCACAAATCCATCAACAATGCAATCAATATCACATTTAGCATTATGCGTTAAATGATCAATCATTAAATTACTCATGATTCGATGATGAAGACTCGATGCTATATAAGGATTCTCAAAGTGCTCATCATATTTGATTTCGTCCCTAAATTCAAGAATAATAGTCAATCGTCCACTTACATTTAACGGCATTTTTATTTCACGATCTATTTCCCTTGGATTTAAGTTTCCATTTCTAATCTTTTGAATTTTAATCGGCAATGATGATTTAACTTCTGTATTAATACACTGGACTAAGTGCGGCGAGGATATGTCACTAATTTTACTTATATCAATAAATACTTCTTTCTGTATTAGAGCAGCTATTTCTACTTGAAGAATCTTAAAGATACTCTGAACTTCTGCAGAGCTATTAAATGTTTGAATGCCTGTTAAGTTTATAGCCGGTGGAATTTTTTCCTTTTTCACACGCATTATTGGCTGTATTTGCTGTGGAATTTGTGAAATCATCGAGAGTTCTGTTTTTATTTCACTTACCGGAATTGGTAGATTAAGATGATCTAATTCAAAGCTATTGTCTTTCATGGAATTACTCAAATCACCATTTCCATTTTCAAAGCTTTCATTCGTTTCCTGTTTTACTTTAATTGGCTTGTTCTTGTGACGATACTTGTACCTCCCTGGCATAGCATCAAACACATAGAAATCGAGATTATATTCCAATGGACTATTGTATCGTCTTAATGTCGATGAGAGTCTCAATAATCGTCCATATTCAGGATGTGGTTTATTAGATAAGTAAAGGAAACATGCATGAACTTGATTTTGCTGTTCCTCATCAAATTCAAGATTCCGATTTTTATTAAATAATGCAAATTCTTCGGCTATAAATTTCATCTTTTTCTCCAAGATTGTATACAGCATAATGTTCTCAATATCATATGTCGAATATCCTTTATCATATAGATTGAAAACTTGCACAATTCCGCTGCTATATATTGAATTTATGTCAATATCGTCATTTGTATAATTGCACATATCATAGCTAAAATGCAAGTTGTCTTTATTTTGTTCATTGTGTTTGTCTTTCAGGTTCTCTAAGTGAACATTTGGGGATAAAATATCCTCGAATGTGATACAGCATAATTCGTAAAAGATGTCACCAGTTTTAGTGATTCTAAAATCTTCAGATTTTGATAGAACTTCTTTAATTTTCACATCAATTTGCTCATCTGACGGTGGTGTTTGCTTCCTTAAAGGTTTATATTGATTCCTAAGATTCTTAAAACGACTCGAAAGTTCATTATTAAAGTTATCAATCTCATTAAGACATTTATCCAAGTCTGAAGTCTGCGAAATGTGTTCCTTTTCCTCAATTGCTTGACGTTTCATATACTTTTCAACGCCAGGATATTCTAAAGGTGCTAAATCGTCATCTAAATCAGCTGTTTGAGCATAATACTCGAGAGTCTCGAAACTAGCATTAGAATATTTGACAAAAGTTGATGATAGCTTTGTACGATCTCTAATATCATACTGAAATGTTTCCAATAAATATCGTATATCTAGTAAGATTGGATCTAAATTATCGCCTTGATCTACAATATCAAGTACTGGAAGATGCCTTAAAATGTCTACACAACTCGTGGTTTCGTGCTCGCAAAAACTAGCTGTCTGAAAACACAATCGTCTAAGTACATAATCTTTTATCGTACATCCAAGTGTAACAAGAGCCAAATATATTCGCCGATACGCCAATTTATATTCATTTTCCAATTCTTTGCTTCTCTTTGTCTCGTCTATTGAATATTTTAGTTCTTGTAAGCTTGAAATGTCGTGAGAAATTCCAATACTGATGAGTTTATAAATAAGATTCTGTTTATTTGGCATCTAAAATCATAGAAAACAAAAATGTTTTGATAAAAAACTAGTCCAAAAATACAGAAGTCGTTGTGCGTCTATAATACAAACCTGAAGTCTTAATTGTGTAGCTGCTAAGTAATAATAGTCGGAAATCACATTCATGTCACTCGCAGAAAGTATTATTCTCTCCATATTTTCATCTATTGTTTTCTCATGATACGCTAAATCTATCAACTGTTGCAAGTATAAGTTAAAGTTTTTAATGTCCTGTTCAGGCTTCAATTTTTGAAATTCGCAATAAAGAAGATGTTCTATAAATCGCTCTACTATCTGTGCCTTATAATATTTAATAAGTTTGCTATGCTTCACGCCGTCTTCTTGCTCCTTACACAGGCTTATTATATAGTTTATTTTACGGTAATTCGGAAAAAGTTTAATCTGCAAAGAATAGTTTTGAGTTCAACGGATTTTCAGGATTCAAAATTCAACAGTTTTTGAAAATTCAAATGAACTGAACTGAAATGAACTATTTGTTTACTGAACGTTTTTGACTCATTTGAATCTCAATTTTCCAGTAAATCACTAATCCATTTCTAGCTTAAAAACAGCATAATCAAGAAGTAAATAATAGCTTACCGTGCTAGATATATGGTCACTGCATTTTCGATGACAAAGGATTATCATATAATAGTATATTAGCTTTTTAACAGTTGCACATGACAATTTACATTGGAACTTTACGTCACGAAGAATGTACTTGCGATAAGTTTCAAAGACATTCAAGATCATTTGTCCTGTATCATCGTTGGTAGTTTTTAAGAATAGATTCATTAGGGATTCTAATCTGGCATTTATCACTTCATCGCTTTCGTATAACAGCTTGTTATCAACTAAAATTATGGGAAATTTGAAATTATGAATCATGTTGGATGTAGCAATAAGCAGGTTATAAATAACATACATGTAACTAATCTGACGGAAGAACCGATGAGTTTTCCAGACAACAACCACTGTCCATAATTAGATGTCCACTTTTCTGTATTCAAGACATTGTTAATAGATTGATTTGCACCTTCCTCGAGGCTTAATGAACTTATAGTTATTTTAATTTTCTCCCAAATCTCCTCAATTTGTGCATTTTGTTGGACATTTCGGAACTAAATGGATTTAAAGTTACTCAAATAAGCTAAATGCTGGAAGTTGGAATCATTTAGGTACTTACGTCTAAGCAAGAATCTAATGTTAATGAGATAAGTTGATTGAATTCGGCACGTAGATTTTTTTCGTCAGTTCCATTTTCTACTTTCTTAAACGCATCCCATTGATGCTCCAAATTTTTAAGGAACAGCACAAACGATTCTATTGCCGACATTTATATATTGTACTTGATGATATGCTCACTATAAAATCATAAAATCACTAAATTCTTTACATTTTGCACTAATTAATTTCATCTTTCATCTTTTTTTTGATATTGAGAAAAAATTGTTGTTTATTTCTTAATTTTCTGCTATTTTAACATCTCTTTGTGTCTCTTTTCATTCACATCCTTTACTTTTCATTCTTACTGACATTTTCACACTATTTTCACTTTTTAAATACCTTAATTAACACTGTTTTTCACGATTTTCTTCAATTTTTCTCACTTTTTTTTAATACCGTCGTGTGAATCTGCCTTTACATTACTTTTATATCATTGTGTGAGTGCGACTTTACATCACTTAGCCGCTATTGTCCATCAATGTTATATTCTTGTTATTCTGTGCTCTACGTGATTCTTTTAATGTTCTTTAATTAAAAGTTTTTTTGCATAAAAACATTGCAAATTTAGCAAAAATTTTGAATTTTAAACAACAGTTAATTTATGTTTTACTGAATTCAATGTTTTTCCAATGCTTTCTGATGTTTTCCGATGTTTTATGGATGTTATAGAGAAACAAGCAATGGAACTGAATTAAGGGATAAGGAATAAGCAGTCAAAGTAGTAAAAAAAATGTACATTAATAATTTATATTAGTATTCTGTAATGATTGATGTGTATGAAAAATGATGTTTCTGTCAAAATAAGATTCCTTTTGCTTAAATATTCAAAAGAAACTTTCTGAGCATTTCCAAGATATCCCACAAACTTTCAAATCTAAAGCATGTCCTATAAAGTGAAAGTACTGATTTCTTGTATGAAATTAAATACTTCACAAACGTAAAAAACTCAGTCTTTGAATAATCAAATCAAGCAGAGCTCAAAGTCTATAGGGTTCAAGTCAACTCGAGTCGACTTCGAGCTCTGAAATCAAGTTTTAACCAAAATCATTATGAATTCTTATACTCCTTAACAGTCTTTAAACCTCCTGTAAAAGAAGTCATTGAATCCATAAATCAGCATAAAGCCACAGTTTATTGTTTATTACAAAACATAATTTTATTCATTTTTAAGACCAAATCTTAATCATTAATCTACTTATTGAGAAATTGTCATATCGAAGAGAATAAGAACATAATTATCATTATTAACGTAATTAACTAGATGATTTGTCTCGCTTTTCCTTAATTTTTTGAACTAAAAGTTTTCTTTCTTTTTCATTAAAAATGTCTTTTAAAAGAGATAAGTTAATGGCTTAAAAAAAGTATTAAAATGCATCTGATGATTTTTCTAGCAAGGGGTGGCAATGTATTGACTTTTTTTTTCTTCAGATTCCATTAAATTTAAACTAAATCTTAAGATTATATTATGAGAATGTTTCCTTAATTTAAATTAAAAAGAGGAAGTAAAATGGGATAATAAAGTACTTAGCAAAAAGATAATAAAAACGAGTTGAGTTTTGGTAAGACAAATTACATGCCGTACACAATATTTTCTTGCATTATTCGTTCAGCACATAACGAGCATAGCTATAGAAAATATATCAAATCAAAAAAAAAAATTAAATTATTCATAAATAAAGAAGTTTTTTGTGAACTTTTGCTGTGCGTTTTGTGTTTTGTTCGATAAAAGAGAAAGAGAGAGAGAGAAAGAGAGAAGGAAGTAAGAACAAAAGACAGATAGAATTTATTGTCGATTCTATCCAGGTTGTCGTTAATTAAAGAGAAGTTCTGTCTTTTGCCTCACACTCTCAATATTCTCGGCCGTCGTGTTCAATTCATCACCAGCATTAAACTTTGATGAGATTTCGTCTAGCTCCTCGACACTCAATTTTTTTGGTTTGACTAATGATACTTGCAAGTATTTACTTGATTTAAACTTCTCCTGAATTGCCTGTTGTGTCAATGTCTCAGCATCTAAATGAATGTCATTAAGATGACCAATTACTTCCTTTAACTCATCAAATTCATATCCGAATGTGTTTTGCATTTTCTTGTTCCAAATTGAGCTACCGTAGTTGTAGTATGAAAGGGCAATAGCAGCTGACGATGTTTGTGATGGTGTGTAGTTTAAAAATGGCACAGCACGCAATAAGGACAATTCACACAAATACTGTATTGCAAAACACAGAAATATAAGGGTTTTTACCATGAAAAACAACAAATTTATTTTACCTGTGCCATGAACTTGATCTTTTCAGGAATGTTCATCATTGATCCAAATAAATTGATGTAGCACAACGTGGATGGCGCACTCAAGTCGAATGTCAAAACTTTGAGTAATAACTTTTCCATTCGCAAGACTTGCTGCTTCGTATAAGTATCGTCAGTAATGTATACAAATTCACCGATCTCTGGTGGATAAATCTCTTCGTATTTTCTATGGAAAGAAATTAAGTTAAACTTTTTTTCAGGATTTGAAAATTTAACGATTTTCAAAAATTTAAATGAGCTGAACTGAATCAAACTTTGACTTAATTCAAATCCCGAATTTCCGGTAAATCACATAAATTTCTCTGGACAAAAGAGGATTGACTTACGAAGCAATGAACATAGCTGTTGTTCCAACCAGCTGTAACTTAGCACGAACAACAGACATGTAGCTCAAGAAACGGTCAATATAGTGAACAGCAAGACACAAAGTTTCGCTATGAAGTTTATACTCTTCGCTGACTTCAACAAGCCAGTCAATAAGAATCATCCTCATCGAGTCATTAATATCTGGTTGCCTGTTTATGTAGTCTGCACGAGGACGAATGTTCTTCTGATTCTAAATTGTAATTGTGTGAGTAAATGCCATTTCAAATCATGTTAAGGCGTAAATAATGAAAGTTTTACCTCAACTACTTTCAGGTACTTTAAAATATCCTTTTGATATTCAGCGACTTCAAAAAAGCGTTCACGGTCATTCTTGATAGCTAATGACTTCTGATCGTCTTCCAGTGATGTCTTGTCAACTGACATTGGAGTTCCAATAGCCTCAGCAACTGACATTGGAGTTGCCAATTGATCATCTTGTGTTTCCTTTCTGTATCTGCTTAATTAAATTAAAAAAAAATCAATAAAATGAATTTGATAGCAAATTGAGGATACTTTACGTGAAGGATGCTGATGTTTCGAGACAGGAAGTAGATGTTGATGTCCATGAGATATTACTTGTAACATTAATGATCGAATCGTCCCCAATAAATTGTTCTTCCTTCAATGTCTTAATTTTCCCTTTAAAGTCATTTGTTTGTTGAAAGACATTCTTGTCTTTGAATGCACGCGCGCCATCATTTGTCTTGGTTGTTTTTAATGTCTAAGAATGTCCAGAATATAAACAAAAATGAAGATCAGAAGCGGGTAAAAAAACATTAAATCTTTCTAACCTGTTTTTCGATTCCATTCTCATTACTTCCAACTTTATTCGTGAGCGGTGCCAACTTTGTACGTTCACGTCTTATTTCAGAAGGATCTAATGCCTTCTTTTCATTAAAATTCTCCTGATCCTCAAAAATTACAAAATTGCTTGCCATGTTTTAAATATTTTTTCAATTTTCTCACTCAAACAAGCAATTATTCACTCAAAAATTACATTAACTGATGAGGACACGATATATGTTCAATTTAAAATAAATATGCTGCACTTATCTCACCGATTTATGCTTAAAATAGAATAAAACTTGATCAGCTCAACAAACAATACAAAATTCAGTTTGTTTTTTAAAAACTTTTTGTTTCGTAACAACAGTTTAAGCCAACTTTGTGCTATGAAACAAAAGTCTACGATTTTTAAATTTTCATTGACTGTTATTCAGAATTGATTCCTTTCCAAGAGTTTTTCGATTAATTAGAGGTTTAAAAATAGTTTTTAATACTTCAGGTAAGAACAAAACAATTAAAGATCTCCTTGTCATTAAGTCTTTGACTAGGTACATATACAAAAAGAATCGATTATCCGTTATAGAAATTTGTTCAATTATCCGACATTTAAAAGTTAAACAAATTTCAATAAAATCACTTTAAACCCACTTTAATTAAGCTTTTTAGTGCTACAGATCGCTAGGATGATAAATACAGCACATTTAAATCAATATTTAAACAAGGTATCGTCGTTAATTATGCTAGATTAAGATGTAAACTTATTTAAATGAACTTTTTAGTATAAAAATATTGCGACGACAAAGAGGGATATTGTTCAGGCAATTGAGCAGTACAGGGCTTTAAATTTCCGACAGGATCAATACGTCTTCAATGATGGTACTCGAAAAGAACTCCTGAACTTGAATGGGACAATTCCAGTAGTGTATAAAAGTAAATCACTTAATTATTAATCAAGTATGAGTCATAAGTAACAAAATGTCTATTAATCATACAGAAAATACCTATCATATTCCAATATGCATCTGGATTATGGATACTCATCCACACAATGCTCCAATTTGCTATGTAACTCCAACAGCAGACATGCAAATCAAAGTATCAATGTTTGTGGACGGTAATGGAAAGGTCTATTTACCATATCTACATGATTGGCTCCCCAACGGAAGTGACTTGTTAGGCTTAATTCAAGTTATGATTGTTACATTCGGTGAACATCCACCAGTTTATTCGAAACCAAAGGAAGCATCAGCTACACCTTATCCTCAACAATCTTTTATGCCACAACCAGGTCCAATAAATCCTAATTTTATGCAATTTCCAGCAGCTTCTAGTGTCTATCCTCCATATCCAGCAGCTGGATCTAATTTTGCAGGCGGTTTTCCAGCTTATCCACAAACCAATAATCCATATCCACCAAATGCTGGCTTTATTCCAATGCCACCAAGTAACAATGCATTTAATTCACCAACACAAAATACAGGAAATGCCAGTGCTAGTGGAACAGGAACGATAACTGAAGAACATATTAAAGCTTCATTGATTTCAGCTGTTGAAGATAAAATGAGACGTCGCATACAAGAGAAAGTTAATCAATATCAAGCAGAAATTCAGACATTAAAGAGAACTAAACAGGAACTACAGGAAGGTGAGAACAAGCTTGCTGAAATTATGAGAAAATTGGAGCATGACGAAACAGAATTAAAGAAAAACATCCAGTTATTACAAGATAAAGATGTTGAATTGACAAAGTCATTAGAGCAACTAGAACAAAATGATGAAATTGACGTAGATGAAGCAGTGACCACCACAGCACCACTTTACAAACAGTAAGTTCGATACTCTTCTTTAATTTTTCACAGCTCTTAATGTTGTACTTTTCTTACTTAGACTAATCAATGCATACGCGGAAGAAGCATCAATTGAAGACGCAATTTACTATCTAGGAGAAGCACTACGAAAGGGAGTTATTGATTTAGAAGTATTCTTAAAGCAGGTTCGCCAATTAGCCCGTAAACAGTTTATGAATCGTGCATTAATGCAAAAGTGCCGACAAAAGGCTGGATTAGCAGGCTAATTCTAATGATTGACTAGATTCTCTCGGAAAGTGCTTCATTTATTGATATTTACTCAAATTTATTCATTCAATAAAATACATATTTAAATTTTAAGTAGTTATATCCTATTTTGAGGTGGGTAACAAGGTTGACGAAAGTGATCCTGAAATTTCCTGACGTAGATCAACGGTTTTTTATTCAAATTTAAACGGCTTTCAGAAGTTTAAAATTTATAGGCAAACTCATATGTTATGTAAAAGAGAGTTACGCTACAAATTAGAAAACTTTCTAGGGGGCCGTTCACTTATTACGTTACGCAAAAAAACGACTTTTTTCACCCCTCCCTCCTTGGTACAATATGTTGCAACTCACAACCCCCCCCCCCCTGAACGTTCATAATTTATTTTATCATTAAAAAGGTGGAAAATTTAAAAAAATGTTTTTTGGTGTGAATTTGTAAACAAATTTTTTTTCGTGAACTTTTTTTAAAACGTTTCATACTTCTTGACACCCCCCCCCATGTTACATTTTTCAACCCCCTCCCCCCTAAAATGCGAACGTAATAAGTGAACGGCCCCTAGCTGAACATTCTGAGACTTTGATCAAAGAAAACAAGCTGTAACGTTCCTCGAGCCCACAATAAAACATTGTTATGCATGTAAAATGTTATCAAAACACAAGCTTAATTTTAGTAATAAAAATTTATTTTCATTTTACTATACAAATTAATTAAAGTTAATGACTAATGTGCTCTAAAATTCCTTGTCTTATCAAATGCTCACATTCTGTTCTAGGTAAATAATGTATGCTATTTCTCTGCAGCAAAACTGTCTCGCCATTCTCAAGTTCCAGTTTGCCATGATCAATCAAGCATTTAACTTCAATGAACAATGCTTTCGGAGGCTTTATATCAGTCATTAAGTTTATAGCATCAGGAAATGAAGTCATGTAATTTGTTAAGAGCTTCGAGTAATTATTAAACCATTGAATTTCAGGCTCTGTTAGCGCTTCCTTTATGTCAGGTGTTATAACAGGTCCAAGATGCCATCGTATTTCCTTAAGTTTCATTAATCTATTATAAAGATATGCCAATGTGCATCTCAAGTTTCTTTGAAGCAGCGCATGTCGATATCCAATCATGGGAAATAAAGTTTTATCACGTGTCTCTTGAAACTTTAAAGCATCTTGATGATTCTCTTGAAATGCAATGTTAATCTCTTCTAAAATCGCTCTCAAGTCCTCACTCTGTAAATATAATCAACAGTCATGATGTCTAAGCAATGTGATTAAGCTTTGAAAGGTATTAAGTAGGGATGGATTAGCTTACGTTGAAATTAGAAATTAATCGGTCTGTTGTTTGTTGGTGTTCTTTAAGTAAGTTGAAAGCTCTTTGTCCCGACATGCTTGTTAAGCCGACAAATATAATCAAAACTATCTTATCTGGAAATAAAGCGAGAGAGCATTCAATTAATAAAGTTTTATGGATATAGTGCTGATGTATTGCTAGCGCATTCTTTTAGTGACTGTACAGATTCAATATTCAATTCTAAAATCTTCATTTTAATCCAAAGATTTAAAATTAAATCCAGAGGATTAAAAATTAAATGCATTGATTAAAACTTAAATCCTAGAAAAAGTGCAGCTCAGAACTCTAAAAAATCAGCTACAATAATAAAGGAGCATTTTGATAACACCTTGATAATACAAATCTCTAGCTGTCTATCAAGCTATTATTATTTCACGATAAAAAATTTAGTGCTTTATTTCGAGTGCTCTTTCCCTTATCCGCTCAGTTTACTGCGAACCTTCAACAGAAATGGTACTAAGAAGGCACTCAAAAAATTCAGAAACCATAGATGTGAATGAGCATCAAATTGAGCACCACATACATCATCATCTTCATCAAAACAATAATTTGAATAATGAGAGCCTTAAGAACCATCAACTTGATGATACAAAGAATACAGCAAAGAAGAAGGAATTGACTTTAACTGACAAAATGATTATGCTTCTCGCAGAAACCATGGGAACTGGATTACTTGTATTTTTTGGCTGTATGGGATGCATAAATTGGATTGATATGCCAGGAAAGTTGAATTAAATTCCTTTGAATATTCAACGACATTCAGTAATTCTTGATTTCATCAACAGGACTTGCGATTCAAGGTTCTTTAAACTTCGGACTGGCGGTCATGTTTGTTGTGCATATTTTTGGCCATATTTCATATGCCATTATAAATCCCGCGATTGTGATAACAGCTGTTGTGAATAAACTTATCGGTATTAAGGTGCAAAAATAGATTCGACGTAAAAGCTATAAATTGAGATATTTTTGGGGGCAAAGCATTGATTAAACCTTCTTGGGAGTCGTAAATCTTTAGACCCCCAGCTCCAACTCTAACATTAGACATCATTATCAGTCAACCTTATTAACACACTTAATTCTTCATTTTTAGATGGGATTCATGTATATTATTGCTGAAGTTCTTGGTGCCATTTTGGGATATGGTGCACTGGTTGCATTAACACCAACAAAATACTTCCAATCAGATCCAGGAGAAAATGGATTATGCATCACGAATTTACATCCATCAGTTTCTGTCGTGCAAGGATTTTTCATCGAGTTTATCATCACTTCCGTTCTAGCCTTTTTTGTTTGCAGCATATGGGATCCAAGGAATAAGGATAAAGGAGATTCTGCTTCATTAAAGCTGGGTAAGTTTTATTTTGTTAAATTTACCACATTTGTCCAACCCACACAAATTGAAAAAAAAAAATCTATTAACACTGAACAAAGAAGGTCAATATCGTACGTACTGACAATTCCAAGCTATAGATAAGATAAATCTCCAATTATCAGTTACACCCCCAAAAAAATCAAAACAATTTTTTAATTAATTCTTTATTTCCTTAACAGGTTTAGCAGTTGCTGCTTTATGTTTTGCCGCTGCACCAGCAACCGTTGCTTCTATGAATCCAGCAAGAAGTATAGGACCGGCAGTTTGGAATAATGAATGGGAAAATCATTGGGTTTACTGGACTGCAACAATGTCTGGATCATTGTTTTCGTCCTATTTTTATAGAATTGTATTTTGGAAGGATCCTGAACAAGAGTCTACAGAATTGTGATATGTTGATGATCTTTGAACGTAATTAATTAATACTGAATGAATGAATTTTTAAATAACTTAAAATCAACTTGACTAAAATGTGAGTTTTCCAAAGAGAATTCAACCTTTATTCTTTTGAATAACTTACGATTACATCCCAAGTTAAACAATCATCAATAGTTGTTTCCAAAAAGCAATCTTAACATTCATCTTCTTACTTTATGTTGTGAATTAAATTACATCCGAAAGTGCTAATTTGCTAAAAGCCAAATCAAATTGAATTACTTATTATCTTCACTATCCAAAATAGCTGTTAATAGTTCTCATGTGTCATTAACACACTGTGTAATCCAAAACATATATCCAATTACATCACAGTTCAAAACAAGCGAAAGCACTTAAACATAAAAACGATTATCGTGCATAAGTCACAAAAGAACCACGTGTTCACCAAAACTGCATAATGAGCATAACTTTTAAGTGACATAATTTATTCAATTCATTCAGTGTCAAGGGAAATGCACTAAAGGTCAACTGTTTACGGAAGCTATTTAGGCTAGGAGATGACGACGATTATATTTTTGAGTCGTAACTGAACATTTTATTATTATAAAGCTTATCTGTTATTTTTGAAAAAATAAATGAAATTACGCCAAACGTAATAAAAATATTAATTTATTAAGACATGCACAAAACAGTATCCAAAAGACTATAAATAACTGAAAACATTTTATTCGTCAACGCAGGACTTCTGTGTTTTAATGTTGTTGTTTTTGCTGCATAGAATGTGTTAAAAATACACAAAAAAAAGTGAAAAAGAAGTAACAGCTACAGTGTTGCTGTCAATATGCTTGTGTAGATCATTTATTATGATGATTTGGGGATTGAAATTTGATAATGCCTTTGGTTTGAATGCTTTATATGGTTTATACTAATCATAGTGATTACCTTACGGTCGAGCAGGGACTTAGACAGGTTATGATCAACACATGCTTCCCTTTACTATACCCCCAATCAAATACTGAGTTGCAAAGTCAAAAGCAATCAATTTGCATCAAATTCGTTGATGCATCATCTTCTAAGCATTCCAGTAAGGCAATATAACACCAGAGACAGTTAAACCTAGTCAAAATCGAGCAATCGTATATCAAATTAAGATTCATGATCAATCGTTAAACTCTACAAGCCAAAATTAAAATTCTAACCTCAAAATTTTAAAATTGAGGTTATGTACATCATCTTGCCACCATTTATACCAAGTTTCAGTTCCTAAAGAGGATTAAACCCAGACATCCGAAAATCCAACACTGCACAGCGCATAACTCAACATTTAGCAAATACGAATTAAGAAATAAACATTTACGAATGTTGTGTGCATTAAGGTTTGTAATTGTACATTAACACTTACAAATAATTATAAAATCTACTCCCAAAAATAAAGTTTTATCAATCAACATGATAAAAATACTACACACGAGTGCTTTATACAGCAGTCCAAACACACACTTACGACGAATTAAGCTTTCTTTTTTGCTTATTACAAACTCGATTATCGCAAATACCAAATTCGCTTTAAAAAATATATTTTATTTTCAGCTTGTGCCTGCTTAATTAGTAAGGTATCGGAATTTCATAAGGCATGACGCAAAAACAATTTGATAAAAATTTTAATTCCATTAATCTGTTGAAAGATGGAAGTGAAGTGGAAGATGATAGTGACAAAATTTACAAGTGGTGCTTTTTGAGTGAGTGCATTCATGTTCTACCGTGAAAAATCAAAGTGCGTGACTTAAGAGCTTATTTCTGGGATATACCTTAGTTTATATAACACGGATTTTTGTCAAAACTATAACCAAGAGATAGTGTACCACTAGTTCATATTTTAAAAGGATATCCAAGTGTATACCTTATATAAACCCGACCTCTACGTAGGATCTAGGTTTTTTTCTAACCTGTTTTCAAAGTTGTTCAAGAATTCAAAACCTTTTTCGATTGTTTTCAATGATTTAGACTGTTCCAGACCCTCTTGACTCATAGATAAAGTTCTAAATACTCAAGAAAGAATAGAATAAACCCAAGACACCGGCCTCGATGTTTAGTAAATAAAGAAAAACGTGAGCGGAATTCCGTCATTGAACAGAAGCACATGGGAGATGACTTATGTAAACAATACGAATGTTATCAAATAGTAAAACCTTATCACAAGTTCGCGTTAATGCATCGCACGATGTTTATAGCTTATCATTGATAAAAAGAATACCATAAATTACAACTAAACAGTAGCAAGTGCTCAAGTTTACCACAAACCTAGCTTTTGAGATATGAAGATCAGACATAAATTTAACCAAGAGACATTTTTAAACACACATTCACTGAGAGACACAAGAGAATAACTGACTTAAATAACAAAAAGATTCTCATTGACGTTGATAAGAATGTATGGAATGACTATCTGTGCTTAATCTGTACGAACACTGTTTTTAAAATAAGACATCGATCGAAGGAAAAAAAAATGGGTGAGAGCCATAGATTTCTATCGTATGATTTCATTCAGTTTTTCAACGTTAACGTGAAAGGTTCGGAGGTTCGTAAAATTTGGAAATAATTCGATTTAAATCAGTGCTTATCATTCAACGCTCAGTTAAATACTCGAGAGTTTTATTTCGGGTGATAAAAATAATGGAGGGATTAATTTGGTTTTTATTTGGTCGATTATGTGTGTAAATTAAAAGGAATTTTGATAATTTTTGCTGATCAGGATATAGAGTTTGAGTGCTAGATCAGTTCGTGACTTAATTGTCAACAAAGACTAATCGAACTTTGAACATGCAAATCAAAGCATTTTTAAAGTTGAATATTGAGTCTTGCTTGTTAATAATAAGATAAGGTTCTAAAAGATTGAATTTGCAAGCTATCGCATTCTCAAACCTAAGTTCAATTTCGCACATTCAGTTTGAACATTAAGGAATCGAGCCTCCTCAAATTAATGAGTTTTTTTTTTCTTTTAAAAAGCTAAGAATTATCTTGATGAAAAGTGCACAGATGTTAATCCGAATAATAAAAGAAAAACAAACAAAGTTGATCATGAAAAGGACATTAAACTGATTGAATTATTAAATTTAAACAACAAACAGACAAGAAAACATCTTCTTGAATTATGAAAACATTAATTGCGATCTTTCCTGTTATTAATTTCATCATCCGATACTAGACAAGTTTGAATTGAAATGACCTGAGTATTAATTAAATAACTCAATGGCAATTGCATTGTAAAAATATGATAAGGATCGATATCAAGATAAGGTCTGTTTCAATCGATCCACTTAGAGATATCCAATTCATTGACACTAGCTTCGTCAACAAATTGACAGAATCACATTGCCTTCAAATCGTTCAACATTAAGCAAGAGCCTTATAATTTTGTAAAATATTTTTTGGAAAGACTAATCACCAGACACATCAAAGATGATTAGTTTATTATCTCATGTCTAAAAAACTTTATCTGCATCTAATGACTTTCGATTTAATTTTTGCTGACAAGTGTAGACGGATTAATGAAATCTTTATTAAAGAAAACTTACAATACCTAAGTGATAAGTGATAAAAAAATCTAGTATTCCTTAAATCTTGATAATAAAGTTTTATCTGGACAGCTTAATTATCGTTAAAAAGTAATTTCAAAGCATTTTATTTACTTTTTTTAATAGCTCACAATAGTCAAGAGTCGAAAATCTTGAACATTGTTAAAGTGCGTTTTGAACTGAGCTTGTGTGCTTACTAAGTTGGTTATTTTAAGAATGAATTTTTAAATTATACTTAATCAAACTACTATTGCTGCATTAGAATCTATGGATAAAAGGATAATCCGGGGGGGGGGGGGGTTGTTTGAAAAAATTGTAACAAAATGTAACATAGGGGGGGGGGGGGGGGGGGGTGTCAAGAATTACGTAACGTTCTAACTGTCGTCTGTCTTTTAAAAAAAAGTTCACGAAAAAAGTTTGTTTACAAATTCACACCAAAAACATTTTTTTAAATTTTCCACCTTTTAAATGATAAAATAAATTATGAACGTTCCGGGGGGGGGGGGGGGGGTTGTAACATTTTGTAACATGGGGGGGGGGGTTGAGTTGTAATATATTGTAACATGGGGGGGAGGGTGGTCAAAAAAAGTTGTTTTTTGCGTAACGTAATAAGTGAACGGCCCCTAACATTACTTGATGCATATTATCTTTTAATTGAAGATGAATTTGAGCAAATAAAAGTTGCATCATATCCTTATTGTTGCTTAATACATTCCAAGATCACCGCTAAATTGCAAACTCAACACAAAGTTGCATAAACGTTGAATTTAAGGTCACTTAGTATTTAGTAGTATCGAACTCATTTCTCACTGAATATTAAAAGTTTTAGGTTCGATTACATTCAGAATGTTCACAACTTCCTTCAATCCACAATGATCAACATTTTTGGAAAATCAGTTTTTTTCACAGACTCGTGAATTATCGATCAAAACACGCACAAAAATCTTCAACAATCATATGCTCGCAGTGCCAAAAGGAGATCGTTCGTAAATGTCGTCAATAAAATTTGAGATTTCAGACCCCTCCCAATTATAAATTGTACAAAATTAATGAACAACCTTTAATTCACAATTTCAACAAAAACTAAAAGCGTGTAAAAAGGTCTGTAACGGCCTACAGACACAAATAATTTTATCGATATAATAAAAATGTTCAATGCGTTTTCATAGATATTAGAAATTTAAGTCTTTTTGTCTGCTCGTACAAGCCGATAAATAGAATGTGCAGCGGTACTTAAGAGTCGATTGTAAATGAAATGAAAGATGCCGTATAAATGTATTTTTGAGTGCTGTAGATTACAATTAGTCTATAAAAATGAACTTTATTGTCTACAAAGGAGTGCTTGTTATCAAGAACTTGAGCAGTCGAGATTTATAATCATAACATGTCAATCGGGTCAATAATTTATGTCATAACAATTGATACTGCGAGAATGTGTTCAATTTAAAATAATTAGGTTCCTTATAATTAATGATCTTGTAGAAATGAAGCAAAGCTTTTTGGAACTGCTAACTCTTGGCTTGTCGGAATGCATCGGAACGGCGATGCTTTTATTCTTTGGATGCATGGGATGCGTTGATCTCGGAAATCCAGGATTCCCAACTCATTTATCAATATGTTTAGGTGAGGAACTGATAATTTACATTGAAATGTCAGAAAAAATAAAGTTTAAAGGCACATCATTTTCAAAGTTCATTGTCAAGGCTAGAGAAGATGTTTGCCTATTCGTATGTTCATTTTTATGTCAATGATCGTACATAACAAATTATTGTGCCTTGGACAGTTATTTAAATACAAATTGCTGATTGTTGGACTAATCATCTTATTTTATTCAGGTTTTGGACTTACTGTTATGGTAATTGTTAATATTTTCGGTGTTGTATCCGGTGCGCACCTTAACCCTGCAGTTACATTAGCTGCAATCGTCTATAAATTAGTTGACTTCCAGGTAAAAGACATTGAATAATTTATGAATCTAATTTGTGAACCCTCCCCACTTCCACTTATTTAATTAAAATAGAAAGCAGTCGTTTATGTTATCGGGCAATTTATTGGTGCATTTTTGGGATATGGTTTATTACGAGTATTGACACCTGAGTCAAGTTTGGGTGAAAATTTCTGCGTGACACTGCCTGGAAAAGGTATTGACGTATGGAAAGCATTTGGAGTTGAATTTTTTATCACAATGGGCTTGATTCTCATTTGCTGTGGAGTTTGGGATCCGAGAAATGCAAAACATCATGGTAACCTAATTAATTTATGCATGCATATGGAAATTGTAAGGAGATTCTAAATTTGCAGATAGTGTGCCTTTAAGATTCGGTCTTGCGATCACAATGCTAGCTTTAGTTGGGGTAGGTTAACAACCACGTTCTTTTTAAATCACCAATCCTCATAGAATCTTTGTGTATTAAAAATTAGGGACCCTATTCAGGCGGAAGTATGAATCCAGCAAGAAGTTTTGGGCCAGCACTATACAACATGAATTTCACAGCTCACTGGATCTATTGGGTTGCACCAATGTTATCGGCATTAATCACTGCTGTAGCATTTAGAATGGTATTTTATAGAGAAGCACCAAAAGAAATAACAAAACCCGAGGAAGTTCCATTAAGAGATGCCAAAAATAATGTTTAATTAACTTAAACCGAATCATTGTTAATTCTCAATTCATTTAACACACAAAAGAATGGATCTTAATAGATTTTAACTAGAATAAACTTATCAATTACTTACGTTGACTTTTAACTCAAAACCACTGACTTAATCCTTATTTAATTTAACTTACAAAGAATTCACAGAATCTATGTTTTTGGCGGGAAACAGGAGGGGATTGTCAGCAATTTGAATTTTAACTTTACGTTATTTTTAAAGCACTGAAAGGAGTTAATAAAAAGGTACAAAATGTCTGTTGTAAGAACAGTTTTTATTCAAATTAATTATTTTTAAAGTTTCTTTTCTTCACAATGTATCATTAATAATAAAATACTACAAACTATTGTATTTTCTTCAGAGGTTCTACCAAAAAAAAATGTTTCTGGATTCTTAACATGTAACATTACTCAATTAATGAATGTGCGAAATCTTATTAATTATATCTATAGAATGCAGACATGAAAAACAGTTTCTATCTGAAAATTTATGTTAGATAAGTAGCAATATATTAAAATAAGAGAGATAAATATATATCGTTTTATCCTTAAATCTCACTTTAACCTTCGAAATCTGAGTCGGAATCGTCAATCACGACGTTATCACTTTCATCGCTATCGAAGTTCTTCTTTTTTTGCTTTTTTGTTGGCTATAAATAAGAGTTTTTCATAAATAATTTCTTTGACAATATTCAGCTTTGATAAACTCACCTTCTTTTTCACTGGAGACGCTTCACTTCCGGAGCTTTCGATTTTTCGCTTTGGTGCTGGTTTTGGACCAAGCTTACGCTTTGCAGGTGGTTTTTTTATTGGGGAATCTTCTTCTTCTTCTTCTGATTTATCGTCAAAATCTGATCCTTCAATTAAATCTTGTGCTGGAATGCTCTTTTCTAATACATTATCAAACATTTCAGGCTCGGAGTCGTTGGATTTTTCTTCGTCTGAATCCTTTAAGAACGAGTAGTCGATTTTCTGTTGACGAAGAAAAAATTATTAGGTCGGAATAAAAAATAAATCCGTCGGATTAAAAAATATAACCGTTGGATTAAAAAGTTGAATCCATCAGCTTTGTCAATTTAAGACCAATTTTTTACCTTTGTAGCTGCACGTCTAGCTGTTTTTTCACGTGCTGGTGCTGTATCCTTAACCAATGCATCAAATTCATCCTCACTTCCACTTCCGAGAGCCTCAATATCACTATCATCGCTGCCAGACTTCTTTTTCTACAGAAAAAAATGTGAGTTTAAATCTGAAATGATTTCAAATAATGTCCAACAACTTACAGCTTTCTTTTTAAAGTCCAATTTGGTCTGTTTCATGCCATCGCCTTTTTCCTTCTTTTCTTTTTTAGGCTTAACTTCACCAGGATCTTTCTTAGCGCGTGGTTTCTTGACTTTTTCAACTTTTTCTTTCTTAATTGATCCATCACCTTCGCCAGCTACGAGAGCATCAAATTCATCCAATTCTTCACCAGGCTCAGACTTGACAGTTTTTTCTTTCTTAATCCCCTTAGAAACAGCTGTAGCCTTTTCATATTTCTTGAGCATTTCAGCAGTTAATTCAAATCGAACGGAATCACCGTGCATGCTTGGTCTTGTATCATCAGGTTTTGTGTATGATTTAATAGCTCGTTGCTTGGTACCTGGCTGTTTAGCTGCTGCCTTTGATTTGCTCATTGATTTGAGCATTTTTTCTTCTTCGTCACGTTCCTTTGTTTCGACTTCATCTAATTTCTTATGTAAAGCATCTAAATCTTCAGCCCACAAATCTTTTGGTGACTTTTTCTTCAATACATTGAGCTCATTAATCTTATTCTTTTGCTGCTTGATCAATTCTTCCTTTCGTTCATCAGTCAACATCCACATGGACATACCCAACAAATAATCAAATTTCTTAACATCACTCAACTTTTGGAATGCTTTTTCTTGATCAACAGGCTTTGACTTGCTTGATTTTCCGGGTTTTTCATCGACCTCTTCTTGTGGCTGTTCCTCCTCGTCGTCTCCCATATCCTCAGCATCATCAGCCTTAATTGATCGTTTCCATTCTTTAACTGGATCAGGTTTGAAATTAAGTTTAATCATTTCCTCAATCATTAATTTACGCTTTTTATTTTCAATGACCAATTCACGTGAACATTTCATCATAATGAAACGAGCTTGATTTGACAGCTTATCAGCTTCAGCCTGCAACATTCCTTCCAAATATCTCTTACGTTTCTCATAGTAATCCAAACGAAGAGCATAAAACTCTTTCAGGATAACTGAGCTGTTTTCAAAACGACGTAAGCAATTATTATGATCAAATGAATGCATCGATGTGATGGCAACAGATGATGTCAGCTTAAAAGCTCTATGGAAACCACCAGGTTCTGACAAAAGCTTATCAAATTCGCCAGGCAAGAATGAAATTACATAACGAACAGTTGTGTCTGTATTGTATTCTTTGTAGTCACTAATGATTGCTTTAACCTTATCGCCACCATGAAGCAATGGCTCAAGAATTGATTCCTTGTAATTTTGTGTCCATGTTCCAATTGGTAATTCACTAATTTCCAATTTATTTCCATCTAATGTTGAGCATCGACCAACTGTTACAAAACGACCATCACCAGCTGTAAGAATATCACCCCTAAAGTTTTTATACCATGGAATCATTGGTTTTGGTTCCTCTCCTTTCATCATGTTTCTCAAATTATTAATGATTTCACGCGGATTATGACATGGAATCTTTGTTGACCATCCAGTTCCAATACCTTCGGCGCCATTAACGAGAATCATAGGAATAATTGGCATATAAAATTCAGGCTCAATTCGTTGATTGTCTTCATCCAAAAAGTTCAACAATGGATCATCATGTGGATGGAAAATAAGACGTGCTAAGGGTGAAAGCATTGTGAAGATGTAACGAGGACTTGCAGAATCTTTTCCGCCTGATAAACGTGTACCAAACTGACCGTTAGGTTGAAGCAAATTAATGTTATTACTTCCAACATAGTTTTGAGCCAAATTAATAATTGTACCGCAAAGTGAAACTTCACCGTGATGATATGCACTCATTTCAGCAACAGAACCAGCCAATTGTGCGACCTTAACTTCCTTCTTATCGTTACGTTTTAAGCATGTAAATATGATTTTACGTTGACCTGGCTTGAAACCATCAACAACGCATGGAATTGAACGAATATTATCAGTATTTGAGAAGAGAATTAATTCAAGATTGACAAAATCGGAGTAAGAAATATCTTTTGTGGTCTTTGTGTACAAATAACGTTCTGGAAGTCCAACAAGTTTACGATGTTTACACTCTTCCATATGTTTTGTAAGCCAATCTTTACGCTGTTGAACGCAGGACTTTGAAAATGCCATACGAATAGCCTCATCGTCATTTTCATCCTTAAACTGAAATAGAATTCGATGACGATCCATATTTTGGAAGTATTCTTTGGCTTCCTTGGACGTTGATGTTCCCAAACCTTTGTAGTACTTTACATTGAACGTATGATTATTTGGTGTATCGCGCTTCCATTCCTCAAATTCTGGAATTGAGAAGAACGACAATTCCTGATTCTTTTTTGTGGCTTTAACAATTGGTGTAATGAACTCTTCCATGAACTTGAGACGAAGCAATTCTGGCCAATTTGTATGAATAAAGTTAATTAGCAAGCCTTTAATATGTGAACCATCCTGATCTTGATCAGTCATAATCATCAATTTGCCATAGCGAAGTGTCTTTACATCATCTTGTGAACTATATTTTTTCTTGTATTGTAAACCGAGAATTTTAATCAAATTATTGATTTCAGCATTTTCGAGAATCTGTTTGTGTGTAGCATCACGGACATTTAGCAGCTTACCACGAAGTGGAAAGACTCCATAAAGATCACGTCCAACAACACCCAATCCACTGACAGCTAATGTTTTAGCCGAATCTCCCTCAGTCAAAATGAGTGTACAATTAACCGAGTTTTTAGTTCCAGCATCGTTTGCATCTTCTAGTTTTGGAATTCCTCTCAATTTGGACTTCTTTGCACCGCTCGTTTTAGCCAATTCTGTTTGTGCCTTAAATTTAGCCCATGTTAGAACGCTTTCGACAATTCCTGACTTCATGATAGACGTAATAAACTTGTCACTAAGTGTGCATTTTGATCCAAAACTTTTAGCTTGAAGTGTCATGTTTTCTTTAGTTTGAGAGTCGAACGTTGGATTGACGATTAAGCAGTTAATAAAGACCCACATGTGATTCTTTACTTGGAATGGTTTGATATTAACTCCACCCTTATTTTTTTTCTTAATCGTTTCCATGACTTGCTTAACAATCATGTCAGAAACATAATCAACGTGTCGACCACCTTTTGTCGTTGCAATGGAATTAACGAATGATACTTGTTGGAATCCACGATCTGACAATGTTATAGCAACTTCCCAACGTTCATTACAGTTCTCATAATTGATTTTTAGCGGATTTCCAGATTCGTCGTCTTTTCTCTTAATGTACATATCAATATAATCTTTAAAGTTTTTTACACCCAATTTCTGACCATTAAGGTAGACAGCAACGCCTCTCGTAGATGCAGCAATATCAAATGCACGACGTTGCATCAATGCTACAATATCATCTTCTAATTTATCCATCTTAAACTTTTTTAAATCAGGCCAGAATGTAATTTTTGTATATTCTTCTTTCGATAATGTATCAATCATTGGCTCAGAGGTCTTTCCCATATTTTCCATCCATACTTGTTTAAACCTCTTTTTGTATTCTTTCGATGCTGTCTCAACAACGAACTTTGTACTGAATATGTTACACAATTTTGCACCATAACCGTTACGACCACCAGTGACTTTTTCTTCCTCATCATTATAGTTTGAGGATGTCAAAAGATGTCCAAAAATCATAGTCGGTACATACATCTTTTCCTCTTTATGCATAACTACTGGAATTCCCAGACCATTATTGTAAATCTCGACCTTATTTTCTTCCTGATTGATGTCAATCTTGATGGTTGTCATTTTTGGATCTCTCTGCTTATTATCGGCTGCATTGACAAGGATTTCATCAAAGATTTTGTACAGACCAGGAACATATGAAACTTCTCGTTGAACCATTTCGTAAGATGTTTTATCCTCAGTCACAACTTTCTCAGTAACCCACATATTCTCAGTTACTCGCTCTACAGAACCAATATAAGTATCTGGACGCAATAGAATGTGCTCTAACTGAGACTTTTTCTGATACATCTTCTCGATAGCTTGTTTAGATCCTTTGCCGGGTGCTGACTGTGATGAGCCAGCAGCAGCGCCATTGCTTCCATTTTGCATGTTTTGCATAAACGACTAAATGAATGTATGAAAATAAAAAGAAATGGTTGACTATATTATTGTTGTTGCTTTTATTTTTTGCTATATGCTGTATGCGGACTATTATAAAGATCCAGACTAATTAAATTTCGCGTAAATTCTCAAATTTGGCACACTTTTTTAAGACATATCAATTCTCTATGCTTTTAAATGTTAGAATAAGCCGATGGTTCACTCATTAATAGCTTAAAAACTATAAAAATAAACTCAAAAAATGAAAATTTTACCCGAATATCGCTCATTTTTTTGTCAATCAGAAAAAGACGCCGAACAAATAGTTTGACAGAAATTTTTTAACGAATTAAGCTGTTTTAGCGCAAAACTTGATGCGCTTCCTTTACCTTAAGTATTATAAGTTATTTCTCGTCAATAATAAATGTAATTTACACGCTATTTAATGCTTTAATTAACTTTTTCTATACTAAAATCTGCAAAAATTCCGTTGAAATTGAAATCGAAGGCAAAAAGCTACGACGTGCAAAAATAACTTCTTGGTGGGAAACTATTTGAAATTCAAAAAGCCGTTAATTTTAACGGATACCTTTTTTATTTTAAATAATTAATAAATCACGATAAATATAGACAAAGTTACACTTTACACAGTTTGATTTGCATTATTAAAATCTACATGTATAGAATAAAATTGATAATTCATTAAAATGATCCTTTACCTCATTTCATTTCATTTTCCTCTTGATCCAAAATACAATAACTGACAATAACTTATTACACATAATAGTTTAGTTCCAACAGAAACATGGAATGTCACGCTATAGCTGAATTACTAGTTACTGTTAATTATGCCAAAATAAGCCAGCAGAAGAAAATGATTGCAACCCATAAGAAAACTTTCGATAAGAACTGATCTTCTTCAAATTGTGACCCATTCTGTCCATTCCTTTGTCGAATATCATTAAAATTAAAACTAGATCCGAAAAAGACAAAAGGAAATGCTCCAATACCAAAGGAAAGATGAAATCCAGCATCGCCAAATGACTGAAAACCTTGATAATTTTGTGAATTATCAGGTTCCGTTCTCTGTGCTTGTGGACGTGGTGGACTTTTCTTTGAACGTGGATCTTGTTGCTTTTCATTATTTCGTCCATATAAAGGAACTACTTTATCTTTACTAATCGCTGCTTTACAAACTGGACATAACTGACGCTGAGGTTTAGTTTCTAGCCAACAATTTAAGCATGGCCAACAAAATAAATGTCCACACATTGTTATAACTGACTCTTTAGCTATATCTAAGCATATATTACAGACATACATCGAATCATCACGTTTCTCTTCCTCATTATCATCAAGATCGGGCTTTGTGGATGTTTTACTATTTTCTGGTGGCGGTTTAAATGAATATTGGGTAGATGAACGATATTGTGAACTATCTGTGCTAGTTGAAGGCTCTTGGCTATTATTATTTGGAAGTGTGTCGTTGTTAGTCGTTGTTGTATTGTCCAAATGTGGATCATTAACTGTTGTTGTTTGTGAGGATGACATATCTGTGAAAAGATATAAATAGAGTCAGTCACAGCATGTAACATGCAACAAAATGAATGATAAAATATTTTTAAGCATTTTCTTGCCTGTTCTTTTGAATCAGAGATATAAAGGTATATTATATTCATCAGGATTTATATCCTTAAATTGTAGCAAATATTGTATATCGAGCATCATTTTCAGAAGAACATCTTGAAAATGCTTAAAAAGTACTTTACTAAGAAGTAAGTGTCACGTCAAAAGGACATGACCAGATTTGAACCGTTGATCTTCAAGACGACTGTGACAAAATATGCATCACACAGAACGTAACACAGTGAGCTACCAAGCAATCAGAAACTAATTTTTTGAATATGAGTAAAATGCAATAAGAAGCACTGTTGATTGAATTTTCATAGAACAGCATTTTAAAGCTGTATTTTTTTGTACGGCTATTAATTTATTTTTGAAAATATTGTTATTGTTGCCGTCTTTGACGTCATTAGTCGTCATACATACATTAAAGAAACTGACTATATGGAATTAATGGCTATATATGCTGTGTGTTGGGTAGATCTGGATTTTCCCTATTTATATTACCCAAACTCGTGACTTGCTTAGAACTTTTGATAGAAAGAGTAAATATTAGAACGTCCTTGAGCAATTTTCACGAAAAGATCCAGTTCAAAATTAAAATTCAATAATACACCGTAATATCAACATTGTACGATATTTAAACAAATTGATAAGGTCGAGCTATATATAATTAAAGCATATCTGGCACAGCACACGTCACTGGTCAGGAGATAAGGCTATAAGATCTTATTTTATCGAGAAATTTTCATTCTGGATCACATAATTCTCAATAAACACTTATTTGGTCGACAAACTTGTGGTATTCAGCCTCTACTTACTTGTTTATACTATTAATGCGATTTAACTTACTTTTACTGTGTATTTCACACTAATTTATGAAAAATGATTGAATTAAAGAATTTATTTTTCAAGGGGTACTCAATATTTTTTACCCCAAATATTTTCAAGATTCAAATTTTTGACAATCGTTATTTTTCACAAGTTTTTCAATTGTTTTTTCTTGCTCAATATTTAATAAATTTAACTATAACTTATTAATACTTATTCCAACAGTATTTAATTCACTTACACATAAAAACTATAGTAAAATTTGTACGAATTCAAAGTTTATGAAATTTACTCACACACACATACATAAAAAAACACAAACACATAGAAACAAGAACGTAAAAAATCAAAACAATCTTCAAATTTAACTAAAGTCACTCAATTTATAGCTTTATCATGGACAAGATCGATTTATTTCAATCATTAAAGGATGAGCCATTGGAACTAAGTTTGCCAGACATAAAGAGTGAGGTAAATGATGAGGAAGAAGACAATAACGAAAGAAATACTAAAGAAACTGGAGATGATCAGGATGATGACGATGATTTAAGTAGCTCTATTCCTACAACTTCCAATAATGTGTTCGATGAGGCTTTTAGACGTAAACGGAAACTGGACAAACAAAATCGGAAGGAATTGGAAGAAGAGGAACGCGAAAAAATGCTGTAAGTTCACAACTTTTCAAAATATGCAGTTTTGATTAATTAAACTACATTTCTGATCCAGTGTATTAGTGTCAAACTTTACGGAGGAACAATTAGATCGATATGAGATGTACAGACGTGCAGCATTCCCAAAAGCACCCGTAAAAAGACTAATGCAGACAATTACTGGATGTTCTGTATCTCAAAATGTTGTGATAGCTATGAGTGGAATTGCCAAAGTATTTGTCGGAGAAGTCGTTGAAGAAGCTCTCGATGTCGCAGAAGGTTGGGGCGATTCAGGTAATTAATTAATACTTTTAATAGAAAACAATAATAATATCAAGCAACATTTAACACACTTACAGGACCTATTCAACCAAAGCACCTGCGAGAAGCAGTAAGACGACTCAAATCTCGAAACATTGTGAGCGTGGGAAAGAACAATCAAAATGTCAAGTTCTGAAAGTGCGTGTTAAATTTAAACATGTTCTACATTAATTTTAAGAAAATAGAATAAAGGAGGTTCATTAACCATTATTAAGCATAAAATTCTGATAAGAATACACTTCCATTCCATATTCCTATGTTTTATTGTGTCTCGCTTTTCCCTTTTCAGAGAATAAATGAGAGAAAAGAGATTTTGCCTCAAAACTTATGTTTTAACGAGAATATAGCAAGTAAAAGTATGGGTATGGTACGGCTGAAATCTCTCACAATTTCATTTGTACTAAGAAGAGTCTCAGTCGTTCATTTGGTGTGTTGAGACTGATAAATAAGAAGTCTCTTAAAATAATCTGTGCAATTTACTTTTACTTATCACTCCTTAAAATTCATTTAAATCGTGTACTTACTCTACAATCACGTCTATCAACTTAATCTACTTTTTATTAATTTTGTTAAAATAAAGAAAAGTTTCTTTTAAAAAATGCCAAGATTCGTTCTCGTGTGTCTAGTTCTTGTGATTTATTCCGGTGAGTAATAAATTGGATGTGATTAATATGCAAATATTAACAGTGTTCGGTAAAGTCAAAAAAACATGCTCATGACTTTACCAAGCAAACGATCTTAGGCGGGTTTCTCAGCACTAATGAGCTTATCTCAACGAGAAACCCGACATAGATCAGATACATCCATTAATAACTCCATTACTAGTCAATGCATGCGATGTTTTGACTGAGACGCATCACGGCTGTAAGATAGAAAACTCTCAGTGCATTTGTGGATTTGGATGTAAATCAGAGTTTCGATATACGACAAAAAAAGAATGTACGGATTCTCTAAAGGTATATTAAAACAGCATTTTGAATCATAATCTCGAACGAAACTAAATTTGAAAAAATAACATCTGGCTGCATTTTCTCTAACTTATGTGTAGTTATCATATATGTTTTCTATTTCCTTTTTCTAGTCAGTCGTTATGTTTATAAAAATTATGTTTCAGTTTTGTACACAAAAAATTATTCTTTTTTCTTACAATTTTATATCGTCTGTGGCACAAAAAACCTAAAACAAAAAGGGAAGAGCTAATGATATTTGTGGCAGGCAACCATGTATAAACGGAGGAACATGCCTTCAAACATCTCTTAGTCCTGGATATAAATGCAAATGTGAAGGTATGTCAAATTGATAGACTAGTTCAATATGATTAATTCAGTGTCCAATAATCAATGATTAATAAAAATAAAAAAAAAAATTTTCAGGAACCAGACACTTTGGCAATCGATGCCAGCGACCATGTCCAAATTCAAGAAATTTTGAACAATTCTCAACAATTCCACACGAATGCATAGAAATTTGAAATTAGTACATAACGTTCATTAATCTTAACATTTATTATTTACGATTTAATTGATGACCTTTTTTCACTAGGCTTCTTCTTTTTACATATATGTATTTGTAATTCCTATCCCGATAAGAAGAAAAATTAAAAAAGAAAGAAAATAAACATTGAGAGTGACTTTTATTCAATACGAAATTTTTTTTTTGAGTTTAGTCGAATTATATACTTACTTACTACACGACTTACGACAGTTGAAAACTTTTGTTTCTCATAACATTTGGCATGGAGTAGTAATCAAACGACCTAAATAGATTATTGAACAATTTTTTTTTTAATTTTTATTTCCGAGTGAGATAAGCTTAATCGAATCCAATCAATGAATGAAAAGGATGCTGTTGTGCAAATATTTTTGACCTTGATGATTGATGCATGCGATACTGAATTGAGTTTTGTGCAGCATTGCAATATTTTTGGATTCATTTTGTGCGACTTTGTAGATTTTAAATAACTTTTAAAGAAAATTATGTGCAACATGTGACACAACTATAACATTGATTTATTCAACAAAACATGTTGTGCAACATAATCGCCAAAATTGTTGTGTGACAAGACAAAAAATGTAGTTGAAATGTGGCGTGACATATACATTTTGTCCATTTTATGTTGCACAACAAGTCTGATCATATGACGAAATGCTATAAAGAAGAGTTTCTCAAACTTTTGAAAACGCCGGAAATGTTAACGACATTACTTGATTTTTGAATTTGCCTTCTCATAAAACCACAGAAATACAAAACACAGCATATGTAAATCAACACATTACATTCCAAATTAATCAACATGTGTTGTCAAATGTGGATTACCCAACTCTGACGCAATGCATAAACATGACATAGAATTAATTTGTTTTGACAGATGCTAAGATCAAGGTGATGCATTGCACTTCAAAACACTGTAAGTTACTGAAATATAAATATCAACAGACATAAAATGAATGATAATAAAGGAAAAGGAACTGTGACTTATTATTATTTCTGTTTCATCTTTGATTTCTCGTTGATTTCTTAGTTTCTTATTGTTTATTATTTCATTTTTTTGTAAATTTTTTTAAAATTTTTTTCATTTTTTTGGTATCTTTTTTAAAACATTTTTTTTTCTTGGAGATTAAATTAGTTTTCAATCGTTATCGTTCTTGAATTTTAGTTCCACTTTAATGCAATTTTTTTTTTTTTTTGTTTATTAATCAATCGTTTTGTTTCATGCAGAATAGTTGTAAAGTTGTATATAATGTTGGTTTTCTTGTTTTCAATCTATTAATACTTGTTGAGAGAGTAGCTGGGATTCATAATCGGTTTCATCAATCAACTATAATATTTATGAAGTTAAATGAATAAATGTTTTCTTGTTTGACATCTTGGATATTCCGTTTATTCAGCTAAAATGCCTGGAATTAAAATTCCTAAATCTAATCAGGTAAGAATCATGTTACAAATAATACAAAAGTTTAATTACCAGCAATTCGTGGAGCTCTTGATTCAATTAGGAAGCCTTTAGTTCCGTCAGGACCTTTTGGAGAACGAATGACAGTCAAACGTGGTGCGCCTTCGTCAACAGAAATGATTTTTAATCGAGAAATTAATCGATCAGGACGTGGGGATGAGTCTTGAATTTTGACAACACCACAAGCAGATGTTTTTCCAGTACGCTATAAATAAAATTAATTAATCAATTAAAATCCACTCAAATATGAAGCCAGAGGTCATGAGGTAACTCCTTCAAAGCTAGTCAATGACTTACATGATTAGTGACAATAGAAAATTCAACAGTATCTCCAGGGTACAAGTTGTAGCTGTTTCCCTGAACCTCAGACATATGGAAGAAAAGCTTCTTTCCTTCTTCAACTTCATAATCTAAAAAGCCAAATTGCCCTTTAATGGAATCGACAATAGCACGTTTCTTCAAACGAACAGCGGTTACCTAAAAATGGAAATTAAAAAAAATTTATAAGCAAATGAATTAAACATTGATTGAGTAATTTCCTTACTTCAACAGCTCGTGATGTTTCATCGATTTTGAAAACAACAGTGTCATCTTTTTGCAATAAATCGCGCTTGTTAATCAAACTGGTGATACCAAATTTATGTTGCGATAGATTTTCGCCATTTTCATCTTTCATTTGAATGAGACCGCTGTACTCTTCTTGATCTGGATTAATGCAACGCAATGGTCGAACTACGACACCATTGTAGCTTCCATCGAGGATTTTTGGATGTACGATTGTTCCTTTTAAAGCAAAAATAGAGGATTAAAATAAGGATTCGAAGATATAATTCAAATTCAAGGATAAATACCTCTGGGCAATAGACGAACGTTTTCAGCTGGAATACAATTTCCACCACCATTGTTGATAGTTGGATTGCGCGTTGGCGATAATGAGTATTCAACTTCTTGTCCAAGTTCCAAGTGATTCGTGTTGCCAATAACTAAAGTAATTAATAAAGGAATGTTAATTAGCTAAGCAAATATTTACGACTTTAAAACAGTTAAACTTACAGTTGCTGAAGTGAAAGAAAACTTCTTGGTCATGTTCTAGTGTCTCGATGAATCCAAAGTTGTCCTTCAAATGAGATATTCAATAAAATTTAAGTTACAAAATAGACTATGCACAACATACCTTTAGGACAGCAATAAAGCCTTGATGCATCTTGAATTTTTCATCAAACTTATTTGACCCAATAACACCGTTGAAATATGTCACATTAATATTCGTATTAGTCACCATAGTGCTAGTGACGCCATTCAGCAACGTAGGAGTAGTACTATTGTTATTATTATTATTATTTGTTAAAGCCGTAGCTTGCATAGCCAATTCTTGTTGCATAGTTGTGATGGTCTGCTGTGGAGATATCATTGGTGGTTGTTGACTTAATTGATGCATAAAAAGCTTCTGCAAATCAATTGGTTGCGACATTTGCGCGATTTGAAATGGATTGAAAATTTCTTGGATGTTTGTCGCAATAAACTCCTTGTTTCTCTTGACCTGTGATTTGTTAAAGATGTAATTAGCGAATGAAAGCTATTCATATGGAACAAGATGTGACTTACTTGGCAAATGTTGAATTTAACATTATCTCCTATCCTTGGAGGCTTTTCACAATCTTTCAGGAAATACATAATCGTTTTCTTATTGTTACCAATTCCATAGGTGATTACACCACCTTCAGTACGTTCCGATGTGCGTTCTAGTCCCTTGACTGGACTTTTTGGCGCTTCACGTGTTACAACACCTACACAGACAAAGAAAGACATGAAATAAGACCCAATGGATATAAATAATGCAAATGAGAAAGACGAACCTTCAACCCCGCTTTCAATTAAAGTTTCAAATTTAACAGTTCCTTCTGGTAAATGCTTAATTCGAATGGCACTCAAACGTGGATTACTAAAGCTCGACGTTGGATCTTGTACGCATGTAAATTCGATTTCATCGGTCAAGCATATTTCACGACCAGTGTCCAAAACTTCAGTAAAATGGAAAAAGATGCGAACGCTTCGTTCAACACAGCGAATAAATCCAAATCCGTCCTTAAGTTGAGCAACAACACCTTGCTCGCGTTTCTCTCCGCTTAATTGAAAAGTCTCGTCGAGTAATGAAATGCATGTTGCACGCTGAAGCTGATCACGTCGATCTGTTGCGAGTAGAAATTGAACCCAGTCGCCATGACGTAATGTAAAATCGCCTTTTTGATCTTTATCTCCATAGGGGACCTCAACTTCTGAGTGATCTGGTGCACGATACTTGATTCGACCAGGCAATGGATCACTATTTGCAATACTTGCTGGATTATTCATTTCTAATGGCTTCAAAACTTGCCCCTTCATAACAGTCGGATCAACATCTTCAAATATAACTGATCCAGGTGCCAATCGAGTAATGTTGCATGCAACTTCCTTGCCATTACGTGTCTGAATGGTGAATTCAACATCATCGCCTGGTCTAATTTCAATATTGTTTCCCTCAGTTTCCGAAAAATGGAAAAATATTTCTTTGACAACATCAGCTCGTTCAATAAAACCGAACGACTCCTTCATTGAGCACACAACACCACGATACTTGACTGGATGTATTGCATTTTCTAAACGAATATGGCATGCACCAAGATTCCCACGATTATTGGTCGCAATTTGGAAACTGACTTTATCTCCAGCTTTTAATTGTACGTTACCCTCAACATCATCTTTGGTATACGGTAAAAAGAAGCATTCTCCTCGATTTTCATAAGAAATTCGTCCAGTTGTTTCACTGGCTGCTGCATTAAGGATCAAATCATTTATACCACGAATTTCAGTTGTTACAGTTCCGGTCACGCGTTCTTCACGATGAACTACTTCAGGTGCGATTTTTGAGACCTGACTTGCAATTGGCTTTCCAGTACGCTTGTCATATGTCATTTCAAATTCAACAGGATCTCCAATCTTAAGATGTTCGATATTTCCACCGAATTGAGAGAAATGGAAAAATAAACGTGCTTGACGTTCACAGCACTGAATGAATCCATAAGAATGAAGTAATTTTTCAATAATTCCAGTCTCACGAGAATTAGTTCCTCCAGCACCACTACTTTGATTATTCGAATCATTATTTGACAATCCATTACTATGACCAAAGGTGTTGTTATTGTTGTTGTTGTTATTATTATTATTATTGTTATTGTGATGCGAGTTGTTGAGAATTGAAGACGAATTTCCACTATTGGAATTATTAGTCAATCCATTCATAAGATTCAATGCAGACGAATTAAAATTTAATCCATTATCGAAGTTGTTGCTCGATGAGTTATTAGATGAATTAAAGATCTTTCGACTACCGAAGATTGATGTTGAATTGTTGCTGTTGTTGCTTGGTGGCTGCAATGAATCAAGCGTAAACGTTCCGATATGAAAGTTGTTGTTGTTTGTATTATTCGTAATCAAACGGGGAGCCGGTGAAGATGATATTCCTCCGACATGTTGATTGTTGAATGATGAAAATAAATCCCTTGGCGAGAAATCAAAATCCAAGAAGGAAGCTAAAGTTTTTAAGAATAGACAAAAAGGAATTTTAATTAAGACACATGAAATAAATAAAGCTAGAGCTTCGCATTTTCCTTTGGATGGCAAGAACTGCTAATAATTCTTACATTCAGAGTCTGAATAATCAACCAAAGATGAATAGCCCGACAATAAAATCTTCGAACCATAGGAATATGCGCTAATATTAAGAAGTAATAGGGTGTGTTGCATAGGATAGACAGAATAATTCTGCAGAATTCTGCTCAACAGTTGCGCAACAATTCTGCAGAATTATTTTGATAAATTCTGCAGAATGATTCTGATGACAACATAATAATTCTGAAGATCAATTCTGATCCAAATTCTGCATAATTAAAAGTTCTGATGAATAACTTTAAGAGAATATGGTTAAAGACTTTGTTTTTCCACAATTACAAATTAATATGGAAATTAAAATAGGAGTACAACATTTTATAGTGTTTCACTAAGTTTGAAACAGAATTGATAAGGAATTGCTTTTGACTTTGCCAATATTTTCCTTTTGCTCCTCTGGTTTAAAGCTTTGAATAGTTCGAAAAAATTATTCATTATTAAAACTTCAATTGAAGATTATATACAAAAGCGTATAAAATTTGATGAAATTTTTGAATATTCAATTTTCGAGATCTAATTCGACACGATTATTTTTTAAAAGTAAATAATTAAAAGACGCAAAATATTAGCTTTTGTTTTCCATTTTCTTCAACGTGTAAATTTAACTGAAAAAGCAACATATGGATTAAAAACTGAGTAATTATTGCTTGGTATCGTTGTTGAATAGCCACAAACTGAGCAATTCTTTAAAAATTCGAGGAACAAGTAAAGAATTATTTTTTTGGCTCCGTTATTCAGCATTAATGACAATTCGACAATTGTTTATCTAGTAGATTCTTATTGGTCATTAAATTTTAGCTTTATTTGGAACTTATTATATCTCCGTTATTATATAGTGATGATCCGTTTATCAAAATATGACGCTGCAAACTGATACTACAAAAATCCGTTGCAAAAACTGATGCAAAAATGCCTTGATATCTCAGTTGGCAAGGTACAGGTCATAAAATTTCGAGTCGAATTTGCACTCTCGGGTTCAAATCCCATCACCAGCCTAGTGATTTTCAGAAGTTTAGATACTTCGGCTTCTTAGGTGCAGCAGTTTAAGACGTAAAACTAAGAATTAGGCAATGTGAGATGTGGGAATGAGTCAAGAATTATGTGGACAGAATACGAAAGATACGAGAGCTGTGAATTCACCATGAAGGGCTTTTACTGGAACGGATCTGGAGACATTGAGACCTACTGAAAATTGAAACGAGAGCCGATATGAACACTAGTTCTAAAGATCTATAACAGTTTTTAATTGGGTACTAGACACACAACTGCTTAGTGAAGATTATGCGCTAAACACTGAGCTAGCGTTCATAATATAGATTTAAAAATTATTAATTTTAAAAATAAAAGTGTAGCGCTTAACGGTTGCACACTGTTGCACAATTTAAGATGAATAAATTGAAATTGAATTGAATTGTGTTCAGAACTCTGAAAAATGTTGTACTCCTATTTTAATTTCCATATTAATTTGTAATTGTGTCTTTAATCACTTTCTCATAAAGTTGTTCATCAGAACTTTTAATTATGCAGAATTTGGAAAAAAATGTTTCTGATTTGTTTTGTGAAATTCTAAAAAAAAAATTCAACAGAATAATTCTGCAGAATAAAAATAAGTTCTTCAGAATTATTCTGGTTTTGTTACATCCATGTCACGCAACATTCTTCAGAATTAATCTTCGGAATTATTATGTTGTCATCAGAATTATTCTGTCTATCCTATGCAACAGATTCGAAGTAATATACTTATACTCACAATCAGTGCAAAAAGGTTTGGTTTGACCACTCATTTTGCTACTCTCGGTTTTGACTTGTTTTTTGTAACTTGTTGATTTTTGCAATAAGATAATAATTTAGAAATTCGACGTTCCAAAAATGTAGTTTTTAACTTCTTTTAATTTTTGTGTAGATTGATCACGATTAAGTTTCAACGTTTTTCTTCGTTATTGTTTCTCTTGTAATATATATTTTGATTAAAGCCAAAATAATTTGTTGCGATAAAAATAATATTAATAATAGTAGTAGTAATAATAAAAAAGCAATTTGGATAAAACTTAGATCACCGAATTACAGATTGACTTTTTGGTGCCTGTTAAGCAGCTAGGCTCCGAATTTTTTAATTTTCTTTCAGAAATGTTTATTTTTTTTTGTGTTTGGAATAAAAAAGACTTCCAAACCTGTTGCAGTTTCTCCTATGTGTGCAGTCTCTCGGGAGTTACACTATTAATTTTAATGGTACTTTGCTATTATATTGTTGCTCTAGCACAGTAGTATATTTCCTTTTTTAATAATTATTATCAATAGCAATTAGAGTAGAGTAGAATCACTTCTTCTTATTACTTAACAATACAGTCTTTTAATTCTTTTTTATGTTTTTTTTTTAGTTTATTATTATTTTGTCATTGAATATTTGAAATAGTTCTGATTCAAAATTAATTAATATTTTAGTTCATTCACAACTGATGCTAATCAGCCTAATATTTTTCATAAAAAAGGACACCGTTTCCTTTAAATTATAGTAGCTCCTAGAATTCTGGACTAGTCTGTCCTCGTCTTCCGTCCTTACGTTCACGTATTATGTTGCAATTCAATTTTTTTTTTATATTATCATTAGTTACTTTATTATGAGTTTTATCATTTATTTCATTTTTTATCACAGAATTGTTAATTCTTTTTATATAATCTTTTTTTAAAAAAGTTTTTTTTTCTCCTTTTTTTACGTAAAAAATAAATTAAATGTCCGCAAATGTCTTGCGAAACTAAAGTCCCAACTTAACTTCTTTTTTTATATCTCACTTGTGTGTTTTTTTTTTGCTTTTCAATATAGATAGTCTTTACTTCCTCGTATTATTATTTCTTATTTGATTTGGATCCTTTGGTGGTACATTCATTTAATAATAGTTTTTTTTTTGTTAACACAAAATTGAAAATAAATTTAATGATGTTGAAAAAGGAATTTGATTTTTGATCTGTGGATGATGATGAAATGCCATCAATTTTGATGAGATATCCTTCAACATACTCTGTATTCACTTTTCCTCCAAATGTTTTTTTTTTTTTTGTTTGTACTTTAATGTGTTGATTGTGTGGTATGTATAGCAAGAGACTTGTCGTCTACCTTCTTGTTGCTAGTATTTTTTGATGGCTGTTTTGTTGCTGTCGTAAGATGTTCGCTCACTGCTTGTAAACTTCACTTTTTTTTGAATTTTATTTAATTTTTCTTATTTAATTCACGAAAAAATTATGTCTAATAATAAAACTTATTAATTTCTTTTTCAACAAACGAATTTTGAATTGTTTTTTTTCTTAATTTCCTTCTTTTTTTGGTTTAAATTTACTAAACTTGTTTTTACTACTCTCAATCACTTGTTTAAGGTCCGTAAAATAATTAAAAACTTAAAAAAACTTTTAAATGATGTGTTCTTTCTTCTTTCGTTAAGGTAGTTTAATTAGTATTATACGGTAGATGTATAGACGAAGAAAAGGAGATGAAATAAAAAGAGAGAGTTATTATTTTATGTTGACTTATGAAAGTTCCAGAATCACTTTCAAATCATAGATTATGCAAAATTATTTTAAAATTATACTCGAGTCCTGAGTGTGATGATTTTCGTTTCCTTTTTTTTTTGACACTAAATGCTTGAATTTTGATGACTTTTTAATTAGTTTTCTTGTGTTTTTCAGACCCGTTTATCTCACATAACAAAGTTTCTATGTTAATTATTTTTTTTCTTTTTTCCCTTAACTTATCACATTAGTTACACATTTTTTTTAAAAAAAATTCTTGTCTCTAACTTGGTAAAGAAAAAAATTCGTAAACTTTTTTATAGAAGCGTTTTAGAATTTCATCTTGATTTTAAAATTTTCACTATATTTTTTCATTTGCTTTAAAGTCGACGACGTGATGATGAAAATGATGAACGTTATTTTTTAATTAACAGTTTATCACTCGCATATTATGTTGTATATCGAAAATAATAGGGAAATAAAAACGAAAAAGAATTTTGTTTCTGCTCTCTCCTCTGTTGTGACTGGATATATCAGTTCCTGGTTTTTTTTTGTATTTTTTTTTGGTTGTTGCAATTTTATGTGTTTTTATTGTTGTGTTTAGTATTAGTAGTAAATATTTTCCTTAATTTAGAAAAAAGATGTTGTAAGTTAAACAAGCTAAAATGGAAAAAAAGAGAAAAGAGACACAAAAAAATAAAAAGAAGAAAAGAAAAACAAAATATCATCAATAATAATATTAATCATACAGACACAAGACGTTTAGCAAAAGTCTGCAAATATAGGTCAATGGATGAAAATTCTCAAAACGGTCATTTCGCAACTTTCTCAAAGCCGAATCGGCGTAAAATGTCGAGAAAATTTAAATTTTTACATCAATTATATTTTTAAAATAATAATAATAATGTCAAAGAAGTCAAAACGAATCTGAAAAATCGTCACCATTTTGAAAATTTTTTAATCGCCAAATACTCGCATAAAACATGATTATTAAAACTTAATTTCTATTAAAAATTGACTAGCACTTTGAGCTTAAGGATGTTGACTATTGATTATTATTGATAGACGTTTAATTAAACTTGAAAAAAATATTTTTATTTTACACTTACCAGATCGAACAGCAATTTTCAGCAATATAAGTTGATGTTTTACCGATTTTCCCGCAAGATGGCTAAGTGTCGCAAAAACAATTGAGATATCCTTAACCATTCTTATTTGAATCCATTTATCTACACTTGTTTTTAATATTTTCTTCGTAGAACCAACTTTAAATCACTGTTTCACTTGATATTTTCACTAAAACTATTAAATTTACGCCATATGTTGTTACTGACTAGTGTGAATGTTTAATGAACTTAAAAGTTTATCTATTTCTGAAACTTTTCAATCGGTCAAACTAAGTTTGAATATAAATAGCGAATTTAATAGGTAGAAGGAGGTAATCAGGTCACTTTTTCTAGTCATAATTAATAAATTCGATGATCTTTGTTTTGAAATTTCGGGAACTTAATCCAGACTTTAAATCTTTAGCTATAGTTTTGTGATAGATTATGCAAACTTTTCCAAGGATGTATTAAATGAACTCAAGTTAACGCTTAGCTTAGCTTTATAGTCAGGAATAAACTGCCCCAGCACTTAGCTTAAGCTGATAAAAGTTTTGAAAAATTATAAAAGTTTACTTACAATTGAATCAAACTAAGGCTTATCATACTAAGAATAGACTGTCAAAAGTATTTATGAATACTCAATGACTTGATAAAATCACAACAAATAGGAATTTGCTTCAATATCTTAAAATTTCAACAACACCGACATTTTTCAAGACTTTTTAAATGAATAGTCAAAATTAATAAATCAAAGCATGCTTAGACTTAGAATTGAGTAAATTAAAAAATGAAATTGTAAATTTCGAGCATAATTACACGTCAATTGTTCACATACTTCCTTTAACTCGAAAGTGCGCTTTGTTATAGTCAATAAGTAACGAATCCCAAAACATTTTGTGTGATATTTGCAAAATAAAAATAATAAACAATCTTCTTGCATAATATATTTCTAGAATTAGCTTTCTAAAGTTTCCGATCTGCAAAGATATTATCACGGAATAGTAAACACACACCAAAGCATTGAATGATCCTGTTATTAAAGTTTTAAATTGTGTACTTTTCATATATTATTAATAAACATTGTTCTTTCGTAGGCATATTAAAGGTTTGTACACATAAACAAACATTGATCAATAATGCTTAACTAATGACTATTTATCTACGCTCTTTTAGATGAAGTTTTCAAATATTGAAACAATTGCTGACCTTGCTATGAGGGATTGTATGTGTTATTGATCAATTTCTGCATGCACTCCATAAATTTCTGGACGACAATGTTCTAGAAAAAAAAATATTAAGTAAGCCATAAAATAATATTGATGCATCTCATCATATCTGCCTATGAACTAGGAATTTTTTGAAAATCTATATGCGACTAATTAAGCTAATTGCGGTGTCAAACTTGGTTGTCGAGTCATAAGTAAGCGAATCTGCCAACGAAAGCAAATAGATCTTTATGTTAAGATAGCAGATCAACAATCTTTAACTCTTACTTTTCTAAAGACATGGGTTCGATTCCCATTAGAAATTAATTATCTCAATCATTTACAATGAATGTTGTTAATAAATGACTAATGCTCATATCTAATAAGTCTGAATAGTTTTAAGAAAGTTTAATTAATTTAAGATTCGATTGAAAATAATAAAATGCATTCGCCAGACAAAACAAAAAAATTAAATACATTAAGTTCATCAAGTATTTCACGTATGAAGGTGTTTTCCCAAACGTAATACAAACACAGATGATGGTATTGTATGGGAAATGTTAAATCCCTGCTTAATAAAAGCGCCACCTTTGGGACAAAATGAGATTTAAAAGTGATATCATGTTTTACCTGATGATATATAGTTTTGTTAATTATATTGATAAGTCGGTTAATTTAAGATAATTGCAAATTTGATTTTAATAAAACTTATTTATTTTTGAAATAAAAGATTTTGGCATAAAAGGAAGAGTCATAAAATGGTAATTAATCGTGTTCTCAGAAAACAATAAATTTGGGTTGTGAAGTAGTTTTTCAGTAATCGGGCATCACTAAAATTTTGACGAAAAAAAATGTTTCAAACTAAGAATAAAATTAAAATTTCAAGTTTTCAGTGTTAATTGATGAATTTCTCTAGAAATGGTAGGCGACTAATGCATTAAGTAAAGTGAAAAACACAAGCGCATCAAGTTTTAACACGGAGCTCTTTTTAATTATGAAAAAAAAGTCTCAATGAATCCAAAAATGATGGCGCTCAGATTGTTTTGTTTGAAAATGAAAAAAATTTTAATCATGAATATTAGGACTAATTAAATGCATATTCATGTAATAGCCCGTAAATGGTTCGTAAATAAGTCCATTCATGTGAGAAAAAAATTAAAAATTTTGCAAAAAGTTTGCTAAAAAGTGTAATGGAAAAGTTGATATTATATGCATGTTTGTTTGTATTGGATATTCACAAATACATTCAAAAATATTGACATGACATAGGAGATGCGTAAAATAAAAAATTATGGAAAAATTATTTTCATTCTAAAATGTTTGATAAAAGATATCCTTTTGATGTGCGATTTTGTTCATTTCTTCAAAATGCACCAGCCCAAATCATTTTGACATCTCAAATCCAGGCATTTCGAGAGATAATTCCAATATAAATATATAGACGTGCATTTCTTATGGTTCATGATAAATCTATCAAAAAAAATCGTCCAAATGAAAAAAAGAAGAAAGAATGTAAAAATCCAAAAAAAAAAAGATGAAAAAAATAATAGAATGGATATTGTGAATGAAATGACGAGAAATTGTCGCTGCAATCAGCCAATATAAAATTTAAATTTTACTTATAAAAAAAAAATATTTTACATCCCAAAAAAAAATTAATGAAGTTAATTATGCATATGTTCTTTCAGATGCTTTTATTGCATGTACATTTGATATAATTTTGAAGCATACAAAAAACTTACGTGAAAAAGAGATAAAAAGCAGTAGAAAATATGTCGCAACGGGGGAAGCGACCGAATTGTCACAATCCTGTTGATGGCCCATCGCCTTCCAAGAGGCGTAAGGGACGTCCCCCCACAATTTCAATTGATTCACATGAGGAGTTTACATCACCTACGAATGGTGGATCGTCCACTATTTGGCAAGCTAGACCGCATTTGGATTTAAAAATGTCTAGTATATATAATCGAAGTGCACCTGAAGCACCAGCAGAACTATTTAGGTGAGTACAAACATCATATTTACTTCTCTTTTAGGCAATCATTAATCCTGACATTCGAAACAAAAAAAAAACTATCAAAACATTAAAAATTTTAGGAAGGATCTTATCAGTGCCATGAAATTGCCAGACTCAGAGCCTCTCTCTCACGAAGAATATTGGGTGATAACAGATCAATGGAAACAAGAATGGGAGAGAGGTGTGCAAGTACCAGTCAATCCTGATTCTCTGCCTGAGCCCTCAGTTCGATTAAATAATGAGAATTATTATAAAGCACGACAAGATTTTAAACTGTAAGTTTACGATTCCAAGAACTTGATATGTGCTATCAATTAGTTTAATCACATACTCTTTGTTCTCACCCTCGTCTCTTCCTTTAGTCCTAAAAATAAATACATACGTATCACAAAGGATGAAAACTTTTCACATGATAAGCACTATTTATCAAATACTCCAGCCATTGCTGATTCTGTATGTAGTTACGATTTAGATCAACTTGACGAAGCCTGGCTCCAAGAGTTTAATGGTGAACGAAGCATGTGTGGTCTTCCACCTGTTAACGAGGAACAATTTGAACGTATTATTGAAGAATTAGAGGTAAACATGAAGTGTACATGATTCTTTTCTTACACAAGTACTATAATGTTGTTTCCTTTAAATTCGCCCCCTCTATCCCATTAGACACGATGTCATGACAAAATTCAAGCAATAATGAAGAGTGAAGATGGATTAGGTATAGAGTACGATGAGAACGTAATCTGCGATGTCTGTCGTTCACCGGATTCAGAGGAAGCGAATGAGATGGTATTCTGTGATAACTGTAATATATGTGTACATCAAGCTTGTTATGGAATAACCACGATACCGTCGGGTAAGCTATCTAAAATTCATCTAGCAGGTAAATTTTTTAATTAAATAATTGTGCATGATTTAATTTTTCTTTTTAAGGCCAATGGTTATGTCGAACGTGCTCTATGGGACAGAAACCAGATTGTGTCTTATGTCCTAACAAAGGTGGTGCAATGAAATCTACGAGATCTGGACAAAAGTGGGCGCATGTATCGTGTGCGCTATGGATACCAGAAGTTAGTATCGGATCAGTTGATAGAATGGAACCAATCACAAAAATCTCCAGTATTCCTCAAAGTCGATGGGCTTTAGTGTGTGTTTTATGTCGTGAGCGAGTCGGTGCTTGCATACAATGTTCAGTCAAGACATGTAAGACAGCTTATCATGTAACGTGCGCCTTTCAACATGGCTTGGAAATGCGTGCAATAATTGAAGATGAGAATGCCGAAGATGGCGTTAAATTGCGTTCGTATTGTCAAAAACATAGTGTCAAAAAGGAACCAAAAAATAGTGCCAAGACAAAAACTGAGAAACCAACAGCACCTGCATGCTCGGCGTCTGAAGATGAAGAAAAAACGAATAAGCGTAAGATTAGAAAGGAAATGACATCGGAGGAGAGAAATCATGCAAGACTCGCACGATTAGTTGAAATTCAGTCAGAATTTGATAAGCATGTTAGTGTAAAAGACATTAGTTGTCATTTGTTAGATGTTGATCAAGAAGGAATTAATCATATTTATAATTATTGGATATTAAAACGAAAAGCCGGTGGAAATGACCCACTTCTTCTTCCCAAGAGCGGTGATGTTGAGTGTATGTCTCAATCTGACCAGGAACAAGCCGATGTTGAGAAGATGAAAATGTTTGTGCATTTACGACAGGATCTGGAAAGAGTTCGAAATTTGTGCTACATGGTTTCGAGGAGGGAGAAATTGTCACGATCATTCTTTAAGATGCGTGAGCAAATCTTCCATAAACAAATTTCTATCTTAAGTAACCATAGAAAGACTACTAAATTAGATGATGAGTCACTAAAAGCCATTCTAGATGCAAACCATGGTCCATCTATTTATGACGTACTGTACTCTAGTAATTCAATCAAAGATTCTAGAGTTTTGAGAATAGACGAAATGATAGATATGATTCTCGGAAATAATGTCTCTACTACTACTACAACTACTACTAAACCCAACAAATCATTACTAGAAATAAATGGCAACGTTAAGAAGGAGAAAATGGATGCGATTTCAAGATATAGTAAATTATTTAATGGTGGCAATACGAGTTCGAATAGAAAATATAATTATGATAGTATAACAAGTGATACAGATGAATCAGCAACTAAGCAATCTAGACGAAAAAGTCATATTACATCGTCATCGTCAGCAGAAGATGAACCACCACCACCACAAACATTACAAAGATCTCCGACTAGGTCTAAAAATCTTTCATCTTCATCAAATCAACTCGCTGTTTCAGCAGCTAGCTCTGTTAATAATTCAAATATCACCACACCTACATCAAATGCTAACAATCAACCAAAGAAGAAGGGTCGACCATTGGGCTCAACGAAGCAAGCAACAGCTGAGAAACGTCGACTATTGAACTCTATAAGTCTAGTAAAAGAGAGTAAATCGAAAGCTCAAAGCATTGATAGTTCAAGTGAAGATGATATACCTCCTCCTCATCCGAAAGTAAAATCACCATTAAGCACAAGGCATCGTTTAATGACAGATGATAATCAGCATTTAACAGACGAAAGTGATGAACTCGTTCCAATTCGAAATAGTAGTGGACATAGTATTCCCACGCAAGGCGGTACAATTAAGAAAATTCACTCATCAGCAATATATTCAGATAGTGACAGTAGTAGTACAGATAAGGATAACAGGACTGACTATACAGTTAGTGATTCTCAACAACAACCATTTAGAACAAAAGCAGCTATGAAAGAGTTTAATGAAAATGAAGTAATACCGAACTTTAATAAGCTTAAGAAAATTCCGGATGTTCAAGAGTCCACCACATCTAATAAGAAAAATGCCATGTCAATCAAGAAATCCTCGACGACACCAACACCGGTCACATCACCTACACCTTCCAAAAAGCACGATCTTCCTCCTCCCTCATCTACTGTTAAGAAAGATATTAAACCATCACCTGCAAAGGCTACAAAATCAAGACGAATGAGCACAAAACTTCAAAACAACAGTCTATCGTCAGATTCTGAAATGGAAGATACAAAGAAACCTCCAGCACAACCGAGTGTTAAAGACATTTCAAAAGAAAGCAGTAGCAATAAGGAACAAGAGAAGAAATCAAAAACCCAAAAAGATCAACAACCCAAGAAAGATATTCTTCCAGACTTTTTGGTTGTGCCGCAACGTGAAGCTGCAAAGAAAGCATCTGAGAACTTGATGAAAACCAATTCCAGTTTGACGGTTCAAGCAAGTTCTGTAGTAGCTACCACAACAAATGAAAAGCATAAGCGTGATGTTAAAGACAAAGTGGAAGAAGTTCCGATTGCAACGACAAAATCTAGTGAAAATGAAAAAGAGAAACAGAAAGAATTAAAGGATAGCAAATCCAAATCAAGTAGGGCCACAAAAGATAAATCTAGAGCTGACAAGAAGGAAGAACAGAAGAAAACACAAGAAAAAACTATCGAGAAGGAAATTAAAGTTAAAGAAAAAGAGAAAGAAGAAAAAATTGTTTCAGACTTTCCATCAGAATTTTTACCTTATGTTCCACAACGACAAGCTGCAAAGAAGGCAGCTGAGCACATCAAGGGCCTAGGAAACTCATCATTGCAACAAGCAATATCTGTAACGGAAGAGAAGCCAAAACAACCGACAACTTCGAGTGTAACTACAAAACGATCAATGCCTGATAGGAGGAAATCTATGGCAGTTGACTTGTCTAGTTCAACATCGAGCAGTTCAAGCTCCGATTCTGATGAATCTGATAGTGAGAGTGATAATAAATCACAAAAACCAACAAATACACCTACTAAAGTGACTAAAGCAACAACTAAAGCTATATCAACTCGTAGAACTTCTGTGGCAGCAACAGCAGCTAGTCTGAAACAGAAAACGAAAGACTCGCCCTTTCTTGACAAGGCAGCGAAATCTTCCGTTCATGTTGAAACTAGTTCGTCATCCTCCTATGAATCCGATTCGTCCAGTGACCGTGTTAATACGACACGATTACCTGACAAAAGAAATAAGAATAAACGAAAAAGCATTGAACAGCCAGCAGCAACACCAACACCATCAGCAGCTGCAAAAAAAGTCACCCCTGTATCTCCTAAAAAGTCATCTAACACAATTAAAAAGGAAAGTGATCAGAGACCACCAACACGACGAATGTCGACAATTACAAAACCAGCACCCATTACTTCACCATCAGTTAGTAGAACCAATAGTAAATCAGCACAGAAACCTCCTGAGCCGCCAAAACCTATCGAACAGCAAGTCACATCATCCAGAAAGAGATCCACATCAACAGCATCGCCACCTAAAGTATCAAGTAATAGTAAATCCCGAGCTACTGAGTCCAGTAAGAGAGATTTGGCTAAGTTGCCTGACAAAGAAAAATCTTCTAATGATGTAAAGAAACCTGAATCGAGAACATCTACCCCTACACCAATTATTGCTGCACCATCAATTCAAACTGAAAAACAAACGACGACTAATCAAAAGACTGATTCATTTGAAGTTGCAAAGAAGAGAAGATCCTCTGTAGTATCAACTCCAAAATCTAAAGATAAGGAAATTCCTAATGATGATAAGGAACAAAAGACCGTTGAGATTGTAAAGGAACCAACTAAAGTTACAGTTGAAAGCAATAAGACACCAATTGAAGAAAAAGAGGTGGTAATTGAACCCGAAGTACCAGTAATAGAAAAAGAACAACCCGTTGTGGTCGAGAAGAAAATCGAGCCCATTCCATTTTCAGACATCATTGAAATTAACGATGAGTCTGAGAATGATGAACAAAAGAAGCCAGTTAGAGCTGAAATCAAAGAGAATGAGAAGGAAAGTAGCAAAAAGACCGTTGAGATTGTAAAGGAACCAACTAAAGTTTTTGATGATGATATTTCGGAAGTTAAAATGGACATAGATGAGACGATATCAGAACCAAAACCACTGATTAGTGTCAAGCAACAAATTATTCAAGAATCAAAGTTCCCAACTTCTCCAAAGATAAGTACTCCAATGACGTCACCAATGGTTTCAATTCCAACTGAAAATCTCAATAGAATGCAAGAAAAATCAAATGAAAGTAAACAATTAATAAATGAACCTTTCAAAAGCATGCCAATTACCAGTAGACAGGAAACATCTACATCAAATAGCAATACAATATTTGAGCCGATTAAACCACTTAGCATTGAGGATACTGAACGAGAATCATACAATTTGATAGAAAAATTAAAGAAAAATAAGAAGCCAACTAATGCGACAGTTATTTCCGATAACAATAATGTTTCTATCGAGAAACCAATTGAACTTTTGAAGCCTTGTATGATGCAGAATGAAAATACACCTAAGCATGATAACTTTGATCAAATAGTACAGCCTCAAATTCCATTGAGACCTCTAAATGCATCTCCACTAACGGAATGTAATGAACTGAAAAAATTATCTCCATGGCATCAACAGCAGCAACAACAACAACAACAACAACAACAACAGCCGCCGCAGCAAGCTCAAAGTCATCCAATTAATGAGAATACAAATTTCCCTCAAAGAAATATTTTGACCTCATCATGCAACAAATTAAATTCACCAATGGAACAAACATCTACTCCTCCATCCTGTATGGTCATTGAACAGCAACAAAAACAATTGGCAGCTTGTCAAAAGATGAGTGAAGAAAACAATATGATGGTATCAAATCGCGCATCAATGTTTATGCCTCAAATGAACATGCATATGAATGATCCAACTGCTAATCATATGGATGTATTTGAGATGCAAATGCAACAGCAACAACAGAAATGGCACAAAGAAACTAAATCTATGAATTTAAAGATGATGCAACAACAACAACAACAACAACAGCAACAACATGATAGGATGCAAGAAAATTTGATTAAAAGAACTGATTCTGGCATGGAAAATATGATGAATAATATGAATCAACAAGTAATGAAGAACTTTGCGGCTATGCAAAAAAGTCCAGGAAATTTTGTTCCAATGCAGCCTCATATGGGTCCACAGCAACAACAACCTCCACCTCCGCAACAGCCTCAAGAGAACTTTAATGCATACAATTATGCAGATCATGCAAATCAATTTACTAGTGCGGTCAGTCTATTCCCACCAGATCTTAATGTTCAAGTTCCATTCCCATCACCCGGTCAAGCAATGTTTGCTCCAAATTTCGCAAGTACATTCACAAATGCTCAGCAGCAACATAATCAAAATAATGATCATTCAATGATGATGCAGACGAGCAGTTCTCATATTAAATTAAATAGCAATGAAATGACAAGCAGTATGCATTTTGGTCGACAGAATATTTGCCCACCAAACATGTTTAATCCACAACAGCAGCAACAACAACCGATGCATCCTAATGACTTACAGATGATTCCAAATATTCCACCAAACAATTCAATGGATTGTAGTAATTTAATTCAGTCGAATTTAGACAAACCACAACCACAAGACATTGCTAAGAAATCTCCATCAAAATCAACGAGATCATCGCCTCGCAATACAACTCCAAATTATGTTGGTGGAAAAACGCCACAAAAGAGTCCGTCAAAAAGTCCTAGACAACCATCTACACCTGCATCAATAGAGTCACTTTCAAGACAAAATAGTCAAAAAGGTAAAATGACACCAACAACAAATGAAGGTAAACAGAGAAAGAGTCGATCAAATAGCCAAGCATCGCCTGTTACAACTCCAGCAGATCATCGAGCTGCAAATAACAAGGCACGACAACGAGCTAATAAAAATACAAAAGGACGATTTCCACAAAATGCTATGCCTTTTATGCCATTTAACAATGAGGCTGATTATATTGCAATTGATAAGAAACTCGTTGGAACTGTTTATGACTTTAGTGCTGACGAAGATTTTCCAACTAGCCCATCTGTTGAGAATTTAACATTAAGAGCAATGAGAGATAGAAGAAAGTCTGTAGATTTGTATAATAAGATGAACAAGGATGGATCATCACAATCACCGAAGTTTATGAAGAGTTCATTGAAACCAACAACACCTTTGTCACATCCATTAGCAATTAATAATCATACGATGCCAAATACAGTTGTAAATGAATCTGAACAACTTCCTGTGACAGCTTCAAGCATAACAAATCTTAATCTTGTTAACATGCCTGGACCTGTAGACATGAGAACATACAATTCATTTGATAATACTAATGATAGTTACAGTAGTCAATTATTAGGTGCATTTGCAACTAATACAGTCGATCAGACACTTAATGAAATCGACGAGGAACAAGAAAAAGAACTTCAGACAGCATTAAAAGCTAGCAATGATAAACAGAAAACACCAACAACAAATTCAACGTCCAATGTTCCAATAAATAATGAAATTGCAAAGAATACTGCAGAAGTATCAAATATCGTCGAAGAGAGTGTTGATTCTGAAGCATCATTTGCAAAAGTATCACTTTCAGATTCTCGTAATCAATTAAAACTTAAAATAAAAGGGCCTCTCGCACATCATCATGATATGCAATCGCAGTCTGTGACTCATGCACAAATAGCTCCACAAACAACGTCGAGTGCGACGTCATCAAATCGTAGACAAATGAGAAAGAAGGAATTATTGCAGCAATATTGGAATCAGGGTAATACAGATCAAGAGCCATTGAGTATAGTATCAAATGATCAACAAGCTCCATCGAATATATCATCAAATAGAGTTGGAGGAATTCCAAAAGCAGTTGATTCAATGGGATTAAGTTTATTAAAGGATGAGTTCCAAGATTTTAATTATGCTGAATATAAGAAACGTAAACGTTTTGCATTACGTGGAGTAGATCCACTTGACGTCTATCCATCAAGTCTCGATGTTTCTAATGTAACTAATGAAGTAGATCCACTAGCAATTGATACAAGTACGAACAATAAGAAGAGAAGTCGTCGTCCAGGTCGAGGAAATCAACAACAGAATCTTATGGGAACACCAAATCCACCACCAAAATTAAAGATTAAAATTGGTGCTGATATCATGGAAACAACTGGAAGTGACTTACCTCCGAAGAAACGTCTCATTGCCCAACCCCCAAGTTACCAAGATCTGAAACGTGAATCTATGAATTTCCGTAAGCAAATGATGGAAGAGTTTAGTGAGCAATCAAATAAACAGCGTCAAAAGCAAGAGAAACGCGAACGAAAGGAAAAGAAGAAGCGCAAGAAGGAGAAAAAGAGATCAGTTGAGATTGTCAGTAAGCCGATCACAGAAGGTGCTCCAGTCAAATTAATATTAAAAATTAGCAATAAATCATCAGCATCCCTCAACACATCAGCATCATCTGAAACTAGTAATAAGCCAATAATGAATGAGCAAGTAGTTAAATCAACACCACCACCAATCAAACTTAAGTTGTCAAGAAATTCAACAGGCAAAGGAGAATATAATATTCTAAATACATCAGCATCTAATGTTGTAGACAAACATAAGAATTTAGATATCAATAATTCTAGTGTCAATAATCAAAATACAACAAGTGTGAGTAATCCAAACAATAATAATAATAATTTACAGCCTCCTATAATAGATGCGTCAGATATAAATGCAATAACAACAAAGAAGCTCGAAGTGTCATTAGAGAGGATTGAGGATATCGAAAAGGCAAAATCTGAATTTTCCAATAAACAAATGAAAGAGACATCAAAAGACGATGTTGCATCCAATAATTGTGAAGTAAGATGATGAAGTTTGAGAAACTTTAAATAAGAAAAAGTAACTGAGAATGAATAAATTAATCTGTATTTGTGTTTTCCATAACATAATTAGTAAAAAAAAGATATGCAAAAAAAAGTCTTAACATAATTTAAATGAATTATAGTGAACCACCATCTCATCATTTCTTATGTAAATAGTGTAAAAAAAGAAGAAGTAAAAAACATAAAGTAAAGAAATCTAGATTTTAAAACAATTTATGGAAAGGGCTTGAAACCGGATGAAGAAAGAAACGAAAAATAATGAAATTAAATTAAGTTATTGAAAAAAAAAGTAAATCAGTTCAGCATTAATTAATTTAAGAACATTATTAATATATCCTAAAAGAAGTAAAACTATAGTCCGATATAAAAATAATAAAAAAATTGTTAAAAAAATCGCTTTTAATTCAACATTATTCAAAGAAACTAAAAAAAAAATATATGCTACCATTTTTTTTCAATAAATTCCTCACAAATCAAAAAAAAAACAAGAAATGAGAAACGTTATGAGTTATGCATAAAATCTCTCGGATGGAAGTGGATAATAGACAAACACTTAACAGATATTAAATTATATTTTTGATACAAAACAAAAAAACATAAATTATGTGTATATATTTATAACAAAAACGACGATTAAAGATGATTTGTGAAATTTCATGCAAGGCAGATCCTTTTTTATCATTTCTGGGGCTGGTTTTTAGGACTATCTAAGGCAGCTACTCTAGTCATAAATTTTGTTTTGATTCTAGAATAGAGTGCTTTAGGGAGTCGTAGAAACCAAGCTCTAATCCCTTCCAGAGATGTGAATACTTTTATTATCATGTTTTAAGAGTTTGGAGAGAGTCTAAAGCTATAAAACATTTGAAACAAATGAAAATCTCTAACATGTGGGTTTAAAAAAACTAGTTTTTATGTAACTTAATATTTAAGGGACTTTAATGGAGCTATCCATAAAAACAAGGTTTTCTAAACACTATCCATACTGTGCCCATTTGTTTGAACAACCAAATAGCTCAAGACGCCCTCTTCACGCTTAAAAAGTTATACATCATTGATAAACGACCCCCAAACTTCCCCTATTTCGTTATTATTTCTGACACACGAGCTCAAATAACTGCAATCAGCTCTCATGAATTATTTTATTTTATAGATTCTGCCTTCCCTCTTTTACATCTTTCCTTCCTTTCCAAAAACAAAACAACAAAAAATTTTAAACTCTTCTTTTATCAATACTTAATTGATATAATCAACAAAAAATTTCCTTAATTTATGTTTATCTGTATTTTTTTTGTTTTAAAGTATATTATAATTTCTTATTTTCTGTTAAAATGTAATATTTTTAGAATTTTAAGAAAATAAAATTTTAGCTCTTTTATATTTAAAAATTATAATTTCATGATTTTTTTATTTTATTTCACATCATTTATTATTTATTTTACTTTATTTTGGGACAACAGATTTTAGAACGTATGGTGAAATGGCCTAATTGATTTAAAACTAGCTTCATCAAAAATGTATTAAGTTTTAAAAACAATCTCAATTTGATTTAATTTGCGACAACTTTGAATTTGATGAAATCATGTAGTATCAACATTTAGAAAGGAAATAATCAAAAAGTACGATCATGTGTCTCACCATCATGTCAAATAAGCAGTTTTTGATGTCAAAGGCAATAAGAAACGACTAGCATGTAAAGTTGTCAATTTAAATAAAAAGTTTTGACTTAATAGTAATATTTAAGCACATTTTAAGTGAATGTGCTTTCCTAATAGTTTTAAAAGCTGCAGCAGTTGATAATTTAATATCTGCCAAGCTTTTTGTGACCTGCGACACACCTTCAAAAGAAAAAAATGTGGCATTTTACCACACTTTGAATTAAATTTTGAGAATTGTTTTCTTTTTATTTTGTAAAATCATCACAAAATGCATACCGCTGGCACTCGAATTTTTTACTTAAAATAATAAAATAATGATTATTTTTTACAAAAAAAAAATGTCAGAAACATAATTAACGTCAATGTGACAGACAAGTGTTGACATGTTGTAGTGTTAACCAAATGACATAGAGATTAGTCAAAAATGACAAAATTGATGTGTTGATGCGACATGCAACATGTGTTATGACACGCGTTAAAAACAAGTTCGTTGATTTTTTAATGATGCGTTGATGTGACATGACATAAGAGTGAAATGAGAATTTTATAATACTTATCTCATGCAACATAACATCAATATTAGATCAAAATGACATGACAGTGTGACAAAATGACATGAAAGCAACAGTTTTGCAACAAAATTTTCATTAAATTAATTTCGATTTAAAATTAAAAAAGCAACTTGAAAGTTTTGCCTTCAATTTATACAAAAATCTAGGAAAAGTCAATCAAAGATGGCAAAATCACCAGAAAATTCAAATTTATTGTCCCAAACCCCAAAAACCATATAAAGAAAGAATATGAAAAAGTAGCTTAATGAATGAGGAATATAAAGCATATATATATATATAAAAAAAAAATAATCTAATATCGAAATTTAGTAAACTTAAGGACGACATTTTTAGTTAAAGAAAAGATAAGATCGCGAAATCACCAAAAAAAAAAAAGAAATCATTAAGAAAAAAATAGTAGAGATAGAAAATTACATATAATTAAATAATTAAACTAAATTTTAAACTCAAAGAGTTGCTATATACATACATAAATTAAAATTAATCTTTTTTCATGAATAGTTTCATTCTCAAGCAAAATGATCACTACAATGCTCACAATGCAGAGTGGTTGAAAAATACTCGACAAAAATTAAAAACATTAAAATTTAGACAAAAAAAAACTTTGTAAGATGTAGGAAATGTCTCTTATTTGAAAGATGAAAATCCTTATTTAATTTATGTATATAGAAGGAGATCTGAAGCTATGGATGATGAGCTTCAGATGGTGGGTAAAAAATATATGTTGACAATGAAAGTAAAGCACATTTTACACAATTTTTAAGTTTTATGTATGAACTTAATTAATTTTTTGAAATATTTTAATGTTATATAAATATTTATATTAATTAATCACATAGAAGAAATTTTTTGCTTAAGGATATTCATTAAGGAACTCTCTTTAAAAAAAATACAAGTCCTCGTGGTTTATCGAGTGACTTTAGCGCATTTTTGGAGCAGCGATCAGTATTCACTTAGCAAATGACTTCAAAAGTTTGCCTTTTGTAAAGTTTAAATACATTCCTTGCTGTATTTTACACATAGTAAACATTAAGTACAGAACAGTACAGAAGTAATTTAATTTGCAAGACTTAAATTTTTCAATTTTTTTTTTTCATTTCAAAAGAATTCTTTATTTAACACGTTTTTGAAATTCAAAATTTTAACGAATTTCCGAAATTTAAATTTCTGAGCGCACTCATTTCATTTTGTTATGAAACCAAAAACTTTAATTATAGGGTAAAGACGATGGGGGGTAAAATCCCCGAAAGATATTAATTCCACGATCCTGCGGGATATTAACCCCGAAAAACGCACATTTTTAAATGTTACTTGCGGGATAATATTCCAACTTAGAAATACACGTGAAATTATTATCCTTCCGGGAGGATAATAATCCCACCTTTAATTACAAGTGGGATTATTATCTCCCAGGTAGATAATAATTTCACTTACATTTCTAAGTGGGATTATTATCTTTGTGGAACACGATTAAAATCATGGATAAATCCAAAAAATTATTTGTCATAGCGGATAATAATTCCACTTGTATTAATAAGTGGATTTATTATCTAATAGGATTTTCATCCAAAAAAAATCTACTTATTATTTTGTCAATTTCATTATTCCAAAAAATAATTAAATAAGAAGAAGTTGTTTTTGCAAATAGTTTTGAAATGAAGTCTATCAACATTTAAAATGTGCGGAACTAATAAATCACGTTTTTATCATTTTTGTCATTGGCAAAATTTAATTTCATGTGAGACTGATCATAGAGGATGCAGAGTTTTTTGCTTCTTTAGAAGCAATGGCTGTTTCTACCTTACCAAATAAAAAAATAAAACCTTATTCTTTTTAAAGCATCAAGAATCAAATGCAAGAATCAGAAGTCTCTAAGATGCCTCGTTATTAAGTTTTTCCTGATTTCCTGGTTTTGTTGCTTATTTGCTTACGTATTATGCGATTTTCCAATCAATCCTACAATCAATTTAAATTCTGGTAAATAAAAAATAAATTGAATACGGTGTGAATATAAAATCTATTTTAGGATATAAAATTTTTTCTGGCAGGTTTATTTTAAGTTTTTTTTAAAAAGAGCTCACGTTTGAAAGAACTTTTAAAATATTACGTTTGAATTTTGTACAAATCACTATAATTCTTTGCTGAACATTTTCAATAAATTTGTGGCCATCACTTTGTTTAAGGAACCCTGTATATCCGCTGTGACAAATAATTTTTTGGATTTAATTTTATCCATGATTTTAATCGCGTTTCATAAAGATAATAATCCCACTTAGAAATGTAAGTGAAATTATTATCTACCTGGGAGATAATAATCCCACTTGTAAATGTAGGTGGGATTATTATCTTCCCGGAAGGATAATAATTCCACGTGTAATTCTAAGTTGAAATATTATCCCGCAGGTAACATTTAAAAATGTGCGTTTTTCGGGGTTATTATCCCGCAGGATCGTGGAATTAATATCTTTCGGGGATTTTACCCCCCCCCCCCCCCCCCCCCATCGGTATGACATTGTTTAAAGCTCAGTAAATGATCTATCGACCAATAAATCGATAAAACTAGTCTAATAAAACAAACCCAAACTCTCTACGATGTCTGGTTGCAAAGTTTTAACGTGCTCCGAACGACTGAACAAGCTTGAATAAGTTTCAAAAATGCGTTTAAAAAAATATGCAGGTTGCGTAAAAATTATTAAAATACATAAGACAAGAAAGATATCATCAGTAATAATCTAGTTCTAACGATAACACTCGACTTTTTCGGAATTGAAAATCTCGGTTAAAAACTTTAAACAATTGGTAAAATTAAATGGTGCGAACCCGATGTACCATTCTTTTGCATGAAACTATTAAGGATATCTCAAAATGAAACCATAAAGTAATTTTTAAGCATGCAGCATTAAGCGCAACGTTGTAAATAAACTTATCAAGTCATACAAATAAAAAAAAAATGAAAAACTGATATTAAAATTTTCCATAAGAATTTTTATTTCACAAAATAGGTAATATTAATTAGTTGTAAATTGAAATAACAAAAAAAAAACAATAAACAAGATTAATATGGATCAAAAAATACATTGGTTGTTCATAGACGTCTATTATAAAATTAAATTTTCAGGTCTCTCTCATCTTCCTTAATCACAAAATATTCTAAAATTACTTTATAGTACCCCCTACCTATCAGACGATCGTGGATTTGATAAATCTTTATTATTGTCACGATATAAATTCAAACGACTCGATATTGAGCTCGATGCTGGCTGTTGAGATGTAGAAGGCTCTGGTGCTGTAAATTCACCTCCAAATCGAAAAAGCGATGAGAATCCAGAAGAACTTCCAAAACTAAACTTAAATGGAGATTTTGGTCGAGCAGCAGCATTTTCAACAATCGAGGAACTAGGAGGTGCACTGGTTTGAGCATTGGAATTTTCTGCAAATGAGAATCGAATTGTATTTGAACTAGTTGATGGTCCATTATCAGCTTCTTCTCGACTTGATGATCGCTTTTTAGGTACTGGATTTTCTGCTTTCTTTGTGCTTAATTTAATATCATTGGCTTTCTGGATTTTACTGGGAATTAAGTATGGACGATCACTTTTAACATTTTCAGGTTTAGCTGCTTCGGGATTTAACTGCCAAAATGGTGTGATGTCATAGTTTGAAGCAGTTTGTTCTACTGGATGTTCGTCAACTGCTATACTTTTAATATCATAGTTCTCATTTCCAGGATCAAGTTTGTGTAATGTTGTTTGATGGACACGCCTTAATTGCTTCTCGGCTAGCAAGTCAAGCTTCATTGTATTCAGTTGTGCATTTAGTTTCATATGTTCCTTAACTGATTCGTCCTTAATCATTCTAAGTCCTGCTAATGCCATTTCATCCAATTGTCTATCTCTTTCAAGTTTTTTAATCCTGTCACTTGAATCTCTGAACTTTGCATTTATTTCCAGCAATTCAGCTTCTTGTTTTCGTGACTTATCCTTAATATCATCCAGTTCCTTAGTTAAGCTTTCATTTGACTTTAATAAATCATTATGCAGAGCATGGAATCGACTTGGATCAGTCTCAAAAAAGACTTTAATGAGCGACGATTGGGATAGTGTTTTACGACAAGTTGGGCAAGTGTATGAGCTATAAATAAATTAAATAGAGCATAATTTTTGTAATTTTTTTCAAAACTCTTACTTTTTGATCCAATTCTTAATACATGTACCATGAAAGCAATGTCCACATGGAGTTACGATGATGTCTTCTTCACTTGTCATAAATTCAGAGCAGATTATACACAGTATCTCCATTATTTAAATTAATTAAGTTTTCTACGAAGAAAAATGCAAAAATAAACAATATAATTGGCACGGAAGTATTATAACCGAAAATAATAATTTAAATTCGAGACAGTCAGTCAGATAAAACCAAGCAAAATAATCTAATAAATTGCTAATTCTGAGCAGATCGAATCTTGTTTGAAAAATCAGATGCATGATTTTGATTCAAAATAAATCAGTTACAAATATATTTATCATTTTGGCTGTTGTAATTAAGCAGCATCTTTTGGAAGCCTATTGTTTTTGATTTCAACACATTCAGTACTTTGACATATGTTTCATTCTATTCTGTTTGCTTTCTGAAAGTCGAAGAATATTGTGATTTTTGAATAGGTATCAAGTATGGTTCCTCAACGGAGTTGCAGGCTCAAAACGCTATAGAGTCTTATCAATCTAGCAAGTTGGTGCAAATACAGCAACTTTTTATCAAGCAGAGGTCGAGCATGTTCAGAAAGCATATTCTAGCTCGAGCTTTTGTTTTGAGTCATATTCTGAAAATATTAACGAGAAGAGTTATTATGAATATAAAGCATTTCGAAAACCTAATTAATTGAGACTGTTGCAGCTACTTAACATTCATAATAATTCTCAATCTTTTTTTAACCGAAAAATTAATTTTGAAACTTTCTCGTTCATATTTTGCTCCAAAAAATCTGTAAAAATCGAAAATTATTCAAATTCACCTTAATTAAGCTACTTTTAACAATGTCTAACCAAAGCATACAATCGGAAAACAAGCCTAATAACGATGAGCCAGTTGGGAATAAAGGAAGTGCTGTCGCTAAAAGGTAAATTGATAAAAAAAAAATTTTCTCTTGTTTTTCAACGTTTTTTTTCTCACAACAAACAATCGTTTTCTCATTAATTTCATTAATTAGATTACAAAAGGAACTAATGGCACTCATGATGAGCTCTGAAAAGTCAGTATCTGCATTTCCTGAAGATTCTAATTTCTTTAGGTGGAAGGTAAATGATAAAATGATGAGAAAAAAATCCAGTTTGCCCATAAATTTATGTTAATTAACATTATAGGCAACGATCGTTGGTCCAAAAGAAACACCATATGAAAATCAGAAGTATCGTCTATCGATTGAATTTCCTAATAATTATCCGTACACAGCACCAACATGTAAATTTACTACTCCTTGTTTTCATCCAAACATTGACATTTCAACTGGAATGCTCTGCCTGGATATATTAAAAGAGAAGTGGTCAGCACTGTATGATGTTAGAACAATTTTACTGTCTATCCAAAGTCTATTAAGCGAACCTAATAACGATTCACCACTTAATAGTAATGCAGCCAGCTTATGGGATAAAAAGGCAGAGTACAAAAAGTATCTTGATCAGTTCTATGAAAAGAACAAGGATACATGATTAGATAAAAAAGAGACTAATTAATATAATAAGCTAGCATCAAAATCCTTTAATCTCTGTCTAAGCTTTTATTTGATTGATATTTTGTTTCTTCTTTTTGCCTTTTTCTTATAACTTACTCACATCGCTTTGAATTTTAAGTTTGTAAAAAAATATATATTTTGAATCATTCCCTTTTCTATTTCTCAAAGATTCTGTTTTTAAACTTTCAAATAAATGCACAATTTTATAATCGGAATCAAGTTGTTTCAATATAAATTTAAATTAGTTGATAGCAGGACACGAACTGTTTGGTCGAATGAGCCACAAACAGCTAGTCCAATTTTTTCGCTACACCAATCAAAGCAATGAATTGGCTGTTGAGATAAAGTGACTGCATTAAGCAATTGGACATTTCCAGCTACACCCACTTTAGTTCCATCTGACATCTCCTTGAACCTCTTATCTGGATATTTATAATTCCATACTCTGATACTTCCAGCACCACCACCAGTCATGAAAATCTCACGATTTTGAGGTAAATGTTTGACTGTCCAAACTGTTGATTTAGCTCCTGATATACATCCATTCGTTCCTAATGATTGACCAGCATTTTTCTCACAGCAATATGTAAATCCTTTTGTTGGATGTTCTGTTCTCATATCATAGACATAAACTCCACCTTCTAAAGTCGTAGCTATTAACTTATTCATTGGTATATCCTTTCTGTCGAATTCTAATGAACAGACTCCATTCTTTAATGTCGTTTCCCAACGCAATGCCATCTTTCTCAAATCAAATAGCTTAATATCACCATTATCATATCCTGAGCAAACAGATCGTTCACAATTGTTAAAGCTATCACCAAAAGTAACTGCCCAACAATCACGAATATCCTTTACTGTATCATCATTTGGTGATGTAGCTGACATGCAAGCAACTGGTTCACCTTTCTGCCTTGGATCCCAGACTTTAACGCTTCCATCTCGACTACCTGTAACAATTTCTTTAGCTCCATAAAGATTCGAACTTCCCCCACCAATCGCATCTAAAGAATTTATTATTTCTGAATGTGCTATAACTTCATAAATTGGTTCCTCTGGTCGCTCAATGTCACTAAAATAGATTGATATGTTAATAAGCTATAAAAAGTTTGTGGATGTGACTTACAGTATCTTTAACTTGCCACTAAAATCACCAAGAGCTAAATGTCGCTCTCCGTGTGAAGATAAATTGAAGCTACAGCACTTAAGTGGACTATCTTGATGGATTTCCTTAATTAAATTGACATTCGGCGAATCCAGTTCATAAATCTCGATTATGCCTTTTCCGTTACTTTTTGTTCCAATTGTAATGAATTTTGCAGACACTGGTATCCATTTAACATCAAATATTGAGTAATTTAAGCTCTTTTCAATATGTGACAATAACTGTACTTTGTCCATGTTTAATTTCTATGTGTCACTAGCTTAATTCGTTGATTTCTTAATGTCAGATATTTCAATAGATACTTCGATCAAACATTATTTTTTGTAAACAAACTGCTATGGCAACAGTTTACAGCACACGTAAATGACAAAAGCACATTGTCCTAAGATTTAACGGTCAATTTGAGCGCGTTGGAAGATAACAACGTTTTGGAAGCATTTAAAAAATTACCGGCTTTTTAATATTTAAATTTTATTCAGGGAAAATGAGAAAATTCAATGTCACTCATGCTTTTACAATTGGAAGTTGAATGTGTTTTTCAGACTTTAATTACACTTTTTGAGAAGTATTTATATCTCAAACAACTTTCGATTACAGTACCTAATCATACAAACAGACAAAGTTGTCATAAAAGTGCTCACAAGAGCATGTACTAAAAAGCGCTTTTAAAAAGTCAACTTATATTCTCAACTCTTTTTTACTTGTTCTAAACACAAGAAAATAAACGTGCGTGAAATAAACAAAATAGTTTAATTAATTTCACGATGAATAAGAAAGAGCCATTGGTAATAACAACCGAGAAGACAAATAAGAAGATATTCTTTGGTGAAAACGGTGAAGTTGTTGATAAACCTATCGAAAATAATGCAGAAAAGCAAATTAAAAAGTCTAAGAAGTTTAATGCTGGAAATAATACAGCAAATGACATAGGAAAGAAATGGTATCAGCTGTATGATGAGTACAATACTAAGGAACCGATGGAAATCAAGGAATCTGAGTTCAAAACATTCGAAGAACATTGCAAAAAGTGTTTTACAGAAGAAGTTGAGAATTTACAGAAAAGTAAGTTAAATTAATCAGTTTAAGGTATCTGATCTATTAATTGGTTGTTATTTCTCTTTAGAAAACCCATCGGATGCAAAATGGTTGCAGACAGCACTCCAAAAAGGTACATCAAGAGATCGAGCAAATGCCGGTGCACTTTTAGTCCAGTCTAATCCACTTCCAAACTTGTCATCCCTTGATTTGTTAATTACGTTAACCAAGTTTTCTAATAAGAACAGCTCAGATATTCTCGAACCAGTCACAAATCTTTTCAAGTTTCTACTACCGTCGCATAGAAAGCTAGTTCCTTTAGAACAAAGAGGAAATGATTGGAAAAACTTGAAAAAGATGACGATCGACGTGTCTACAAGAAATGACATTTATGCACATTGGTATTTTGAGAATGAGCTTAAAAGCCGTTACAATACTTATCTACTAAATCTTCAAGGATCGCTACAAAATGGAAAGGAAATTAACAAGACTAAAGCAATTATTTCAGCTTCAAATCTGCTTAAAACATGTCCAGAACGAGAAGCTTATTTGCTGACAATTTTAGTCAATAAATTTGGTGATCCAGACAAGAAAATTGCATCAAAATGCACTTATAATCTTCGTCAAATTCTTTTAACACATCCAAATATGGCTCATGTTATGATTTTAGAAACTGAAAAGCTGATTTTTCGTAAAAACATTAACGATTTAGCTCAGCATTATGGAATTGGATTTTTGTCATTAATTGCACCGATTGCTAATGCTCAATCGTGTCAGAAACTAATCAATATCTGCTTTTGCTTCTTTAAAATCAAAATCGAAAAGGTAAGTTGAAAGATATGTTAAGCTTCAAAAATAACAACCAAAAGAAATTTGAAAAAAATAACTGTCAAAAAATATTTGAATAGGTATAAATCCAGATTAAATATTTAATCTCAGGATTAAGAGGAGGATTTAAATGATTGATTACTAATTCCAAGAATTTAACCTTGTCATTTTAGGGCGACATTAATTCAAAGACAATGCAAGCAATCTTGAACTGCTTACGTATTGCGATCCAAAACATTAATGATTTTAATGAGGAAAAGAATAAGATCGAAATAACGACACCAGATGTAGTTAATACAATTTATCGTTTAATCTATTTGTCAAATATATCAATTTCGTTCCAAGCACTTAGTTTATTGCTTCAATTAGTTCTGGTTCAGAATGAAAGTCATGATAGATTCTATAATGCATTGTATAGGAAAATGATTGATCCTGAAATCTTTAATGCAAGCAACAAAATCACATCATTGTACTTCCACATAATTCATCGTTCAATTCATCAAGATTCGAATGTTTCACGATGCAAGGCATTCATTAAGCGTTTATTGCAAATGACATTATCATTAAATCCAGCTAAAGCATGCGGTGCATTAATTGTCATCAGTAAGTTGTTAAAATCAAGACCAGAATTGAAAAGTTTTTATCTTAAAGCTGTGACTGTTAAGGAAGAGACAGCAATTGAGAAAATAGCAACAAAGAAATTAGAGGAAATGGACAGTGACGAAGACGAGCAATATAAGGATGTAGAGATTGATGGTAAAGTTATTGTGCCAGAAATAGAAAAAGTTCAGTCTTCATGGATTCACGTAAAAAATTCAACAAAACAAAAGGAACAAACATCCAGTCAAATTAAAAATCCAACAAAATATGATCCTTTTAAGAGATCTGCTGCTTTTAGTGGCGCTGAATTTACACTTTACTATGAATTAATCCTTATGTCAAAGTTTTTCCATCCAACAGTTCAACTTTTCGTGGAAAATCTTATGAAAAGTCAGAAAATTAATTATTTTGGAGATCCACTTAAAGATTTCAGTCTGTCTCATTTCCTTGAAAGATTTGCATTTAAGAATCCAAAGAAAGTTGATCCAAAAGAGTCAGCATTTCATCATGCTTATAAGCCGAAAGGTTCTCGTGGACTTTCAGTACATTCACTTACAGATCAAGCATGTACAGAAGATGAAAGATTCATTTTTGATTTTATTCAACGTAAACGAGAAATTAAAGCAAAACATGTGAAATTAAGTGCTGAAAACGAGGAAGCAAGTGATGTAGAATCAATCGACGACGATGAATTCGATAGCTATCTTGATACATTAGGTGCTAAAGCTGATTATGATAAGAGTGAAGAGGATTTCGACTATTTATCTGAGATCCAGAATGAAAGTGGTAAAAAAGAAGTTAAAGGTAGGAAAAAGTCTAAAGAAACAGATTCTGTGGACGATGACGACGATAATTGGGACGATGATTTTGACGAGGATGGTAGTGAAATGGATAGTGCTAACGACACAGATTTAGAAGACGAAAGTGGAACTGACCAATCAATCGATGGCAGTGAAATGAACGACGATCTTTCAGACGGCTCTGATTCTAATGATGAATTAGACGAAATGCCAGCAAAATCAAGTAAAAAAATCACTAAGAATAAGTCAAAGAAGGAAGAGAAAGGCATGAATAATTTGTTTGTGGCTGTTGATGACTTTTCGGAAATGATTGAGAAGAATTCATCAAAACATGGAACTTTGGGTGAAATATTCAATAAAGACAAGTCGTCACAGGCACAGCTTAATTGGGAAGAAAAGCGTCACAACACTGCTGGTGGTTTCAAGAGGAAAAATTCATTTGGAAAAGCTAAATTTCCATTTAAAAAGAAGAAAACGAAGCATTAAAATTATATTGAAATATAACGGTTAAATAAAATTTGAAATAAAAATATATTAAGCATGGAAGTTTAATAAATCATCCCTTTTGTTTACATTCTAAGTTGAATTTTTCAAATTACAGAAAATCAAGAATATTAGTTAAATTAAGTATTTTTTGACAGTAATATAGTCATTAAACAATGGAAATATGTGATACGTACTATAGTAAGGACGAATTTGTAGAAACAGCGTCTGGAAATAAGGTAAATTCACAAAAATAAATAAAATAACTTTAATTATGAATCATCGCACAAATTTTGCAGGTAAATCGTCAAACGGTACTTTGTGGAAGTCAGAATATTGTACTGCATGGTAAGGTTATTGTCGATAAAGGAGCTATAATACGTGGAGATTTGGCAAATGTTCGAACTGGAAGATATTGCATTATATCCAAAAATGCAGTTATTCGTCCACCATTTAAGCAGTTTAGTAAAGGAGTTGCTTTCTTCCCGTTACACATTGGTGATCATGTCTATATCGGGGAAAATTCAGTAATCTCAGCTGCATCAATTGGATCTTATGTTTATATTGGAAAGAATGCAGTCATTGTAAGTCATATTTGACATTATTAAGTAATAAAGTTGTTCACTGGATGTTGTTTAACGTGTTTTAGGGACGACGATGTGTGATCAAGGACTGCTCGATAATCGAGGACGGTGCAATTTTGCCACCAGAAACGACTTTAGCTAGTTTTATGAAATTCACAAAAGAAGGAAAGATTGAAGGTGGACAAGGAACAGAATCAGTTCCTCCCGCGATGCTAGATTTGATGGTTGATTTTACTAAATCATTTTATGAGCATTTCATTCCTTCTACTCATTGATTATACTTACTTATCATTTATAAAACTCATATTTGCTAATAAAATTCAACTGTCATAAATTATTTGAAAAAATTAACCGTCAATATTAATTTGAATGAGTCATTGGCAACACTATCATTTTTGCGGGAAAAAAGGTAAACAAAAAGTCAAATCTATTAAAAACACTAATTAACATGGCTACAACCAGCAATAGTGCACAGAAAGTTAATCGTAAGCTCAAGTATAAGGAGCTCATCGAAAAGGGAGCAAAGATCAGTAAGTAAATGCTGTAAATTTCACAATTCTTAGAAATTTATAAAATTTCATCCCAAATAATTGTTAAATTAAACTTTAGGTGAAACTCTTGAGAATCAGAATGTCTTGGATAGCTTTAATAACATTATGGAACTTATTGATGTATGTGAGACTGTTTCAACGGATTATGCACAGGATGGAAAGATCGAACATACAGCAGATTATTTAATGGATGCAGCAGTTATTAAAATGGGACATGATTTGATGGGCAGCACTGCTGAAAAGATGGCAGATAATAATTTTCATGAAGACGAATATGTAGCAGCTATTTTGGATCTAATTTCGAGCAATCAGAGTGATAAATTGCTTGAAATATCCGTTGAATGTTGTCGAACTGCGCAATTCCAGCTATCGATGCTTGGAACCTTTACATTTGTTTCGACTGGACTTGATGAAACCAAAACACAAAAAGTCAAGAGAGAACGTCACGCAAAAAGTCAATTGGGCATCAAAAAGGCACCTGAAAACATCACACAAATCGTTAAAGTCGATAAAGGAGCTGAAAAGATCAATTTGATGAGGCTTGAAATTGAAAGAATCTGCAAGGAACGAAAGAAAACAAGCATTCCTTATTACGAACTTATCATTGATCCTGATGACTACATGATATCAATTGACTATGCATTTCAACTTTCATTTTTGATTCGTGACGGAATTATGGGAATAGCAAGAATTAATAAGGAACCGCATGTCGTCCTTAAAAATGCATCATCTAGAAGTGAAGAAGAAAGTAATGCAACTATTCAAACTGTCATGTCTATGAGTCCACCGCTTTGGAAGAAGGAGATCAAAAAACATAAAATTAAAGTTGCTTTACTTCATTTAAATACTGAGGACGAGCACAACGAGACCCACGGTTCTTTTGACAGCGATGACTGAAATTAATGCTTAATTTATATTTTTTTATTAATGAGCGGATTAAATAAATTTTTTTTAAACCAATTTCATCTGCGGCGAATGATCTTTAACTCATTATTCTATTGTTTTACAGCCTTTATGTACTTCAATATAGAATTTCAATATGTGAGAACTTTCCATCAAAAATTAATCATGTTTTATAGACTGTATGTTAATAATGCTTGAAAATCTCATTGAATCATGTTTGAATGAAACTCGCAAACTGTTGCTGAGTGCTTTATGGATTATTGATAATGGATAATAAACCTATTTATGTGCTTTTTTTAACACACTTTGACATAAAGATTGATTTGATTCATTTATAGGATAACATAACTCTTCAAAATTATCGATTGTCATCATTACTTCCATTAGAAATGCCTTAAAAGCATCATAAATGTCAAAACATCAAATTTTTGCGTTGTGTCCACAAAAAGTAATTTTATTAAGCGAACGATTTAAATTTAATTACAAGCAGACTCGGCCTTTTTTTCCGACTAGGTATGAAAAATTCATAAGCTAAATTCAATTTGTGATAAAGTTTTTTCTGAAAAAATAGAATCCAATTTGTCAATGCGATATCATCCATCTGAAAAGTTATCCTATCCATATGACACACATGAAATCAGCTTTAGTCATATAATTTTCTTCATTTGAAAAGCACTCAGAATAAATAATTTTTTTTGTTGGCATAATTCATGTTTGACAGCATTTAGAGACATTAGGAGTTTTGTGAAATTGATACTTAACCAAAACGACCATAAACCCAAAATTCAACAATACTGAATATTTATCATAGATAATTGTTGGTTTTACTCGTTTTACTCTCGATTTTAGACAGCACATAAATGTAATTTAAAAATTAATTATAAATGCAACTGAAACGTGTGCTTACATTAAACTGAGAGAACAATTTGCAAAACATTATAAAATGATCCATAATTAGGGTATGATAATGTATGTCGTGGCTGATTAAATTTATAATTTTGAGATGAGAGTAAAAATATATTTTTTGTAAATTTTCATCGCATTGTAATTTGATGAAAGCTGCTGGAAAATCATAGAGCACTGATTATGTTATTAAAGACTCGTGTCATTATTGAAAGGTTTTGGAATTATTTATTATGTTGAACTTAAGAAAATAGTTTTTTGTGATTTTTGAAAATTTCAATGGTTTCAAATTGAACTTTAAATTTATGAATGAACTTGACTGTGAGTAGATTTGAGTGCTTTGAACCAGTTTAACAGTTGAACTTTTGCTTTTCGTTACCAAAAGTCTTGAATTTCATATCAGGTCGAAGTATAGTTTTAGAAGTTATTATATTCACACCGTTTTCACGTGTGAATCTATTGGTTTTGTTCAGATTGAAAAATCAGTTTTTTGAATTTTGTGAGGATATGGAGCAAGATAGCTTAAAATGTTCATAGATAAAAAGTTTGTGCTTTAAATTTCACATCTTTTGCAAAAAACAGATTTCAAATTGGTTGCGACATTGCTGAGAAAATCGCAAAATATGGTTTCTGTAAGCAAGCAAACAAGCAAGTTAATCAGCAAGAAATCTCAATAACGAGACATTGTAGAGACTTCTAGTTTTTTACATTTGATCCGTGCTACTCTATAGAAGAGCTGTATTGTTTTTAGGGAAGGTAGGAACAGCCGTTGCTTCAGAAAAAGCAAAAAACTTTCCTTTCTTACGAACTTAAAAAAGTTTCAATCCATTTGGATAAACCCTCGAAGAAAAAAGTGACAAAATTGATTTTGACTAGGGTCGCCCCTAGTCCAAAATTGAAAATGTATTTCCTACTTGGCTCTTTGCTCAAAAAAATTTTTGGATGTTTATTTGTATTTGTTTTAAGCATTAAAATATTTATGCAAAGTTTCAATCCATTTGTATAAACCCTCGAAGAAAAAAGTGACAAAATTGATTTTGACTAGGGTCGCCCCTAGTCCCAAATTAAAAATGTATTTCTTACTTGGTTCTTTGCTCAAAAAATTTTTTGAATGTTTTATTTGTATTTGTTTTAAGCACTAGAATATTTATGCAAAGTTTCCATCCATTTGGATGAACCCTCGAAGAAAAAAGTGAAAAAATTGATTTGGACTAGGGTCGCCCCTAGTCCAAAATTGAAAATGTATTTCCTACTTGGTTCTTTGCTCAAAAAAATTTAAAATGTTTTATTTGTATTTGTTTTAAGCACTAAAATATTTATGCAAAGTTTCAATCCATTTGGATGAACCCTCGAAGAAAAAAGTGAAAAAATTGATTTGGACTAGGGTCGCCCCTAGTCCAAAATTGAAAATGTATTTTCTTCTTGGTTCTTTGCTCAAAAAAATTTAAGGATGTTTTATTTGTGTTTGCTTTGAACATTAGAATATTTATGCAAAGTTTCAATCCATTTTGATAAACCCTCGAAGAAAAAAGTGACAAAATTGATTTTGACTAGGGTCGCACCTAGTCCAAAATTGAAAATTGATTTTCTATAGTGTACTTTGGTCAAAAAACTTTTTGGATGTTTTATTTGTATTTGTTTTAAATATTAAAATATTTATGCAAAGTTTCAATCCATTTGTATAAACCCTTGAAGAAAAAAGTGACAAAATTGATTTTGACTAGGGTCGCCCCTAGTCCAAAATTGAAAATTGATTTTCTATAGTGTACTTTGGTGAAAAAACTTTCTGGACGTTTTATTTGTATTTGTTTTAAGCACTAGAATATTTATGCAAAGTTTCAATCCATTTGGATAAACCCTCGAAGAAAAAAGTGACAAAACTGATTTTGACTAGGGTCGCCCCTAGTCCAAAATTGAAAATGTATTTCCTTCTTGGTTCTTTGGTCAAAAAAATTTTTGGATGTTTTATTTGTATTTTTTTTAAGCATTAAAATATTTATGCAAAGTTTCAATCCATTTGGATAAACCCTCGAAGAAAAAAGTGACAAAATTGATTTTGACTAGGGTCGCCCCTAGTCCAAAATTTAAAATTGATTTTCTATAGTGTACTTTGGTCAAAAAACTTTTTGGATGTTTTATTTGTATTTGTTTTAAATATTAAAATATTTATGCAAAGTTTCAATCCATTTGTATAAACCCTTGAAGAAAAAAGTGACAAAATTGATTTTGACTAGGGTCGCCCCTAGTCCAAAATTGAAAATTGATTTTCTATAGTGTACTTTGGTGAAAAAACTTTCTGGATGTTTTATTTGTATTTGTTTTAAGCACTAGAATATTTATGCAAAGTTTCAATCCATTTGGATAAACCCTCGAAGAAAAAAGTGACAAAATTGATTTTGACTAGGGTCGCCCCTAGTCCAAAATTGAAAATGTATTTCCTACTTGGCTCTTTGCTCAAAAAAATTTTTGGATGTTTATTTGTATTTGTTTTAAGCATTAAAATATTTATGCAAAGTTTCAATCCATTTGTATAAACCCTCGAAGAAAAAAGTGACAAAATTGATTTTGACTAGGGTCGCCCCTAGTCCCAAATTAAAAATGTATTTCTTACTTGGCTCTTTGCTCAAAAAAATTTTTGGATGTTTATTTGTATTTGTTTTAAGCATTAAAATATTTATGCAAAGTTTCAATCCATTTGGATGAACACTCGAAGAAAAAAGTGACAAAATTGATTTTGACTAGGGTCGCCCCTAGTCCAAAATTGAAAATGTATTTCTTACTTGGTTCTTTGCTCAAAAAAATTTAAAATGTTTTATTTGTATTTGTTTTAAGCACTAAAATATTTATGCAAAGTTTCAATCCATTTGGATAAACCCTCAAAGAAAAAAGTGACAAAATTGATTTTGACTAGGGTCGCCCCTAGTCCAAAATTGAAAATGTATTTTCTTCTTGGTTCTTTGCTCAAAAAAATTTAAGGATGTTTT